CCTCTCTACAGGGCAAGCTCGTGGTCGGACACAACATGTTGCTGGACGTCATGCACACCATCCATCAGTTCTACTGCTCCCTCCCCGAGGTTGGTGGATTCTTCCTTGCATTGAGATTGCTTTTCCTCAACATGCCCTTTGCAGGAAAGTCACCTCCTCCCTACTCACCTGGGACACACCTAGACCGGTCGTCCTGGGTGGAAGGTGGGCACCAGCACCTGTCCTGGGTCCAATGAGGATGATGCTCCATCTCCCAAAGGGACTGAGTAGATTGGTCCAGGATGTCAACAGCTCCCAATATGGTCCTCCCAGTAGTTGATAATCAAAGGGGGACTGCTTCCCTCTGCGACATTCCCTCTGCTTTTCCCTGGAAGCTTGCTAGCTTTCTTAACTTCCAAAACTTTCTAATTAGAGTTCTCTTAAAATGGCAACTATCTGTAATATTTTTTTTAAAAAACACGCTTTTAATGGCATCTTAAATGTAATATCCAACCTTTTCTTTGGCATTGCAACCTTTGCTTTTCTCAAATAAATGAATTGTGCATTGATGCAGTTTACATCATTTCTTTTGGTCTCAACAATCTGATTCCTTTTAAATTTCAGGATTTTAGTGAGTTCAAAGAACTAGCAACATGCGTCTTTCCAAGGTAAGTGCTTCTGTTTGCTATTATGTAAGAACATAAGCCAGTTCAGTTCAGTAGTCTGTTCTCTCAATGGCCCTCCAAGTGTCCACGGAGGGCTGTCCCTCTGCCATCAAGGCTAAGAGCCACAAACAGCTGGGATCTCAGTTAAAGTATCGCTATAATCCTCCTCTTACGGAACATTCATACTTAGGAACCTCTTGCTGATTCTTCATTGTAACCATCTTATTTCAGGCCTGCCACCCCTGATATGTTTTCCAGAGTTTATAACTAAAATCTGTTTTACAGGCTATTGGACACTAAATTGATGGCAAGCACTCAGCCATTCAAGGTAGGACATTTGCATTTCTTGATAGCACCTGTTAAAGTAGTATAATTAGTAAAGTTAATGAAGTGAAACGGACAGATAAAATAAGACTATTTTGCAACAAAGATAATATGCCATTTTTGCACCCAGTGAACTGCCTTTTCCAGGCCACAGAATGCTGTCCTCGGGCGCTATTGCTGCTTGCTAGAAGGCAAAACCACTAAGCACAAATGAAAGCTAACCGTTGTCTAAATGCCTGGCTGTTGAGGGGGCAGCGGGGGGGGGGGGGGGGCCCTGGAAGAAGTCCTGGGTGTCACTTTCTGCCTTTAGCAGGAGCTCTTGGTGCCCCTGACATGGACAGTCCTACCTGTTGCTCACTTGGAGCAGTGCTTCTGGCCTTCAGGGGCTTTTAGTTGTCTTTGCTAATTCGAGTGAAGGCAAGAATAATACTGGTGAGCTTGCCTTGGAAGTGTTTTACATAGGACTCACAAGTGGGTGTATATTTTAATTAATTCCAAATGTTTAAGACATTGGTGATCATCATCTTCTCGCTTTCTTGCTATCAGTTGGTATTGATTATCATGGCCAAACTGCATTAGTGGACTGTGGCACAATGTAAAACCTCTGAGCTGGTCCTGGTCTTAAAACTCTCAAGCTCTGTTTTGACTTTGCAACCACTGTGGTCTTTCCAAGGAGTCCCAAGGTTTTGGGAAGCATGCATGTACAGTGTGTGTGTGTGTGTGAGAGAGAGAGAGAGAGAGAGAGAGAGCATGCTATTCATACCTGTCTGCTGATATAAGCTTGCAATCAGAGATGTCTCGTGCTCTCCTCTCTTCTCAGGAAATCATTAAGAACACATCCCTGGCAGAGTTGGAAAAGCGTTTGAAGGAGATGCCCTTCAGCCCTCCAAGAGTTGGTAAGGCAACAAAGAGCAGCCGAAATCTGGCTTTTAGTAGACGTGGCAAGTGAGCATTTAAAAATGTGCTTATGCTTTGGTGGGTAGAAATTTATTGGATTCTCTAGAGCTAGCAATTCTATATAATTTTGATGGGGAATTTAGGTCGGGGCTTCAGAAAAACCAAAACTACCGTTTTCCCCCAAAACTAAGACATGTCCGGATAATAAGCCCAATTGGGCTTTCAAGTGCATGCGGTAAAATACGCCCTCCCCAAAATAAGCCCCCCCAATACTTAGACGCATGTGCAGCTGCTGCGCAAACAACATGACGTGAGGAGGCGAGGCAGGAGGGAGGGGGAACATGCCCACAGGCCCCGCACGCACCTGCAGTCCATGTGGAACAGCCTTTTCGGTGAGCCGGACGCACCACTGCCACTCAGGAGAAGAAGAGAGAGAGGAGGCGCTGCGAGAGAGCCCATTTCTGACATTCTTTTCTTCCCAGGCGGCGGCAGCGCATTCAGCCGATCTCGGCCGTTGAGGGGGAGTGGCAGATGGGGAGGGGTGGGGAAGGAAGGAAATGGAATGGTGTGTTTTGGCACTCCTCTTTCCACCTACTGTCCAATGAAGTGTACGAGCAGGTTAGTGCATCTTCACTAGGATTCTACTTCTTTTCTTTTTTTTCATATAAAGTGCACTGTGAACAGAACATGGTCTGACTGCTCTCCCCTGTCGTAACTTTGGCTGCCTCCGCCACGCGCAGAGGAACATGTCAAATTTGTCTTCTCGCCAAAAGACTTTTTTTTCTACAAGGAGAACTGTTCTTGCAAAGGTGCCATGACTTTAACTCTTGAAGCCCCTCGCCGGAAGTGTTTTCTTGGATGGCGTGAGCCCCTGCCTCTGCGGCGGGCTTTCACCGTGGCCCTTGGACCTGGAACTCTGATTGGGAGCACCTGGCCCATCTCTCTCTCATATTGCCTTTCCAGGAAACGGTCCTTCATCCTGGACCACCATGCCCGCCAAGCGGGCCCTTCGTCCCCACACAGGCTGCAAGCTACTGGGGGGCTGCGTGGAGAGACATGGGGGGGGCTCTTCTTTTCTCGCAAAAGATCCTTTTGGGATCTTTTGATCCCAAAAGAAAGATGCCGGATCCTTGAAATTGGGCCTGTGCATGGCGGAGGCAGCCAAAGTTAAGATGGGAGAGCAGTCTGACTCCCCCCCCCCCCTCGCATCTCCATGCAGCCCTCAGTGGCTCGCAGCCTGCGTGGGGACGAAGGGCCGCTTGGCAGGCCCAGCGGTCTGGGATGGAGGACCGTTTCCTGGAAAGGCGATGCGAGAGCGAGATGGGCCAGGCGTTCCCAATCAGAGGGGTGGGCAGTCTGACCATGTTGTTCACAATGCACTTTATATGAAAAAAAAGAAAAGAAGTAGAATCCTACTGAAGACGCACTAACCTGCTCGCACACTTTGTCGGACTGTAGGCAGAAAGAGGATCGGCAAGCCAGATTTGGGGAGCTGAACGCGTTACCGCCGCCCGGGAGGAAAAGAATGTCCGCATGGATGGCAGGTGCATGTGGGGCATCTTCCCCCCCTTCCCCCGCACCTCGCCTCCTCACCTTGTTCTGTTTGCATGGGAAGCAACGGAAAAACTGCCACGATGGCTGGAGGCAGCGGCCTGAGCAGCACCAGCAAAGTAGCTGGTCGGGGCTCCGGGGCCGAGGTTTAGGGATAAGACCCCCTGATAATAAGGCCAAGGCCATATTTCAGGGGTCAAAAGAAAATAAGATCCTGTCTTATTTTCGGGGAAACACGGTAATAGCACTATTGAACCAGTAGCTGGATGAAAAAGGCTGCAATTTGTGCTACTTTTTCATCAGAGGCAGAACAAAGACATTCTTGAGTCTGCTGAGTGGGGTCAGCAAAACAGTCTCTGGGTGGAAACTGGGCACCTCAAACAGTCTCTGCACCACTGTCTGGACTAAAGTGTTCCTCCTCCCATCCAGGTGACTTTGAGTAAAAGCATCCTTTCCTTCCTCAGAAAGCGCCGAGGGCTTTCCCAGCTACAACACGGCTTCAGAGCAGCTTCATGAAGCTGGTTATGATGCCTACATCACGGGCCTCTGCTTCATCTCCATGGCAAACTTCTTAGGTACTCTGACCTTCTTCCATTGTGCCGCAGCCTCCACTTGGCTCATCGTAGTGATTTTTGTCATATCCTTTGCTCATTAGGTTCATTTCTCAGCCCTCCTGCAAATCATGTTTCTCCCAGTTCAAAGCTGATAGAGCCTTTTTTCAACAAGTAAGTAACAACCATCCTTGAAAAGCATCCTGCTGTTTTCTGAAATTCTGCTGTGACTTTTTCAGTGAGGTTTCTGTTATAGTTTAAAGCTTTGGCATTTAGAGTAGTACCAGTGTGTTTGCTAGAGAGGTTTTCTTGCCCCGCCATTTAGTGGAAGCTGCTGCCCTAGGCTGAGACCACGAGGGCCCTGCTTCTGGGAGGCTTGATCGTGCTATGTAGTTGAGAAGTGCTTTTTTGCTAGCTTTTCATGGAGCTAGCTAGATAAGCGGAGACAAAGAAATCTTTTGTTTTCTTTTCTTTTCAATTTATAAGAGCCCAGTATAATATCCAAGTGACTCTCTATCTTTTCCTTCAGATTATTTCTGATGAGGGTGATGGACATTCCATATCTCAATTTGGAAGGACCAGATCGTAAGTGTTTCCCCCCATCTTTAAGCACATCAAAATAGTGGGATGCTTCACACCTTTTTGGTTTTGCAGCAGCGTGTGAGAAACATTTTCCCCTTTAGTGGGGCCTGAGTTGCAGAAAAAGGAGGAATCGACTGAAGGTTGGCAAGGAGGAAAGGTTGGGTAAAACGCGCGTGAACCGATACAAGTCTGCCTCTGGATTTAAGTCTGCCTTCCCCAGAAGGATGTTTCTGTGCGGTAGCCCTGTGGGAAAAATCTCGCATTGATCTTAACTATTTGCTTTTGGCTCCTGGGTGTGTCGGGGGTGCAGATCTTACCAAAATATAAATCACTTCTGGAGCTCATATCAGTTCTTCTGGTTTTGTAGTACAGCCAAAACGTGATCACGTCCTTTATGTTACCTTTCCCAAAGAGTGGAAGACAAGTGACCTTTACCAGCTCTTTAGTGCTTTCGGTAAGTAGACCCGTTCCAGTGACAAATTCTTACAAAAGAGCAGCTGAATTTGGCAGAGAGTCATCTGGGGGGGACGGGGTTGGGTAAAATTGAAGGCTAAAAGCAAAGGATCCTTGCATTGGTGGCTAGAGAGCAAATGGGAGTAGGGTTTGTGGGGCCCTTTTGGGCAGGACAACTCCGCAAAGCCTCCGCCCATCCCTTGACGCATCCCTGTGCAGGGAGGTGTCACTCTTCCCTCTGGCCTTCCCTGCTTCAGAGACATCAGCCTTCTCCCTCCAGGATGAGAGCTGCCCCTGTCCACATGGTGTCATCTTCACTATGCTTGGATAGATTGGAGCAGAATAGAGTTTACATTCCCCTTCCAATTTTAGGAAACATTCACGTGTGTTGGATTGACGATACATCAGCATTTGTATCCTTGAGTCAGCCTGAACAAGTTCAGATTGGTGAGTACCATAAAACTTTGAAAAGTAGGGTTCACGGCTGGTTATTTTTACTAAACATCAGCTAATGGTCGAAATGTTTAAAGAAGTTCCGTATATCTTTATCCCTTTCTCCACTATTTGTCTTCTGGGGCCATGGAGGCTGTTAACTTTTCTCTTTCTGGTGGTCTGCCGGGTGGGAGTAGGCAAATGCCAGGAGAGGAAAGGCATGGAAAAAAGGGACCACGGAATGCAGTCCCCTTCAATCCTTTGCAGGCCAAACTCTGCTCTCAGTCCTGCCAAATCAACAGCAGGAGAGCTGAGTATCTGGAGCGGGAGGCATCCAGCAGCCTTGGGAAGGTCAGATGCGCTGCCCGGGCATGACCGGGCAGGAGTGCCCCCCACAGCTTCTGTCTAGGCATCCATCCAGCTGCCTTCTGTGGAAGGATCTTCCAGGGAGGAGGACCTGAACTCCTGCCCAGAGCAGGAACTGAAAGGTCCAGCCTGGAAGGGAGGGTTGTGTGGCAAGGTTGTCTCGGACCAACAAATACTGTTCATCTTGGCTCAAGACTTGGATCGATTGCTGCCACAGGCACAGCCCTTGGCAGACCGCAGGGTGCCTTTCACTTTTTGGGGCACTGGCACTTCCCTTTTCCTTGTTCTGCAACGTCACTTTAAAAAAATTCTTGATGTGATGGTTTATTTTGCCAAAGCCTCACCTTTTCTAGTTTTGCTTCAAGGTTTCCTTGTCCCCAGAAGCTTCTTTGCCCAAAGGACACCCTGGCAGGGCAGCCATGACCCAGGTTTTCTTTGCCAAGAGCAAATGGAGAAAGGCTGGGGGAGGGGGCAAGTGGGGCTTGTCATCCAAGGTGAGCCGCAACCCTTTCCGGAGTGTTGTGCAAGTGAGCGGAGCTGAGGTGCTTCAAAGCAACCGTCCACCTTGTTGGGCTCTTCTCAGGTAGGCAGCAGAGATGGGTTTCAGCAGGTTCTGACCAGTCCTGAAAAACCGGTAGCAGAAATTTGAGTGGTTCGGAGAACCAGTAGTAAAAATTCTGACTGGCCCCACCCCCATCTATTCTCTGCCTCCCATGTTCCAGCTGATTGGGAGGAAATGGGGATTTTGCAGAAACCTTTCCCTGGATTGGGGACAGAATGGAGATTTTACAGTATCCTTCCCCTGCCATGCCCACCAAGCCACACCCACAGAACTGGTAGTAAAAAATTTTGAAATCCACCACTGGTGGGCAGGACTCAGGCTGCTTTGCCTTTTGGTCTTGGAAAAGGCAAAGGCCTGCCGAGCATCTCTGAGAGAACACAGAAATGACAGAATGGCCCACAGCCTGACGGACACCTCCAGGTGACTCTCTGGCAGAACTGGGGACAAGGGACAGAGGTGGTTTTTCAGGCAGGCCAGAGCAGAAGGTTGTGCCCAAGGGCCTGCAGAGCCACTGGGCAGCCTTGGGAGGCAGCAGATGCCCAGTCAGCTGAAGAGGACTAGTTTTGCTGACTCACCCAGAGACCATCTGGCAGATGGAAGATTACAGGTTGTGAGGCAGCCAGGACTGCAAGCGAGCACTGAGGCCAGAGAGCCCTCCAGAGACTCTGGGTGCAGGAATCCGTTCCATAAGCCTGCACCTCTTCTGCTTCTGCATGGTTCTGGCACAGAAAAGGAAAGAAAAAATGGATGGTTTGATGAGCTTTGCGAGCCGTGCTATTTTCTAACAAGCCATGCTAACTCTTGAAGCAACGGGTGGGTGGGGAAAGAGAACCTTTGCTTGGGCCCTGCTCACCTCTGGCCGACTTTGAAAGCTGGGGACAATTAAAAAAAACACTAGTGATGTCTCTGACATTGGCGACAGAGTTATACAGCCCCCTCCCCCAAACAATTTGTATCTGAGTCCCCCCTTGAGCTTTCTGGTGCTTTTCCTAGGAACAGGATATTGGCTTCCTTCACCAGCATCCTGGTTATGCTCTCCTGAATGTAGCCTGAGTCCACACACACCCCACCCTTCAAAAGGGCTCCCCTGCTCCCTCCCTGGAAGAGGAAGCAGAGGGGTGTCCCTCCCTTCAGCTCTTTGGGCCAGGAAGCCGTCCTGGAGAGGATTCCCTTCTGAGTGATTTTGTACTGAACTGTTTCCACAGCTGTTAATACCAGCAAGTATGCTGAAAGTTACCGGATTCAGACTTATGCAGAATATATTGAAAAGAAGCAGGAGGAGAGGAGGCAAGCGAAGAGGAAATGGGCAGAAGACAGTTGGAAGGAGATGGAAGTGAAGCGCTTAAAGACGCAGGCCAGCCCCTTCGCACTCCAGAGCCGCTACTACAGTGTTTGCAGGTGAGACACTTTAGCCGGTTCTGCCTCAGGTGGGTTTCAGGGGCAGGAGAGTGACTCAGTTCGGTAATTCCCACAGTTGGAAACCGGCCCAGCCAGTTCAGCAGAAGAGAGTTAGCTCCAGTTGGGAAAACACAAAGCCCCGTTGCCTCCTGTGGAGGGTTCAACCTGGAAAGAAGTCTGAGCCAGAAGCGAGTTGCCAGCCTCCCCTCTTCCTTTCCGAATTTGAGAGGCCAGAGGAATCTGGTCATCTGGATGCCAGGTGGTAGCGCAGTTGCCCCAGGAGGGAACTAATAGAGCCAGCCTAAGGGTTTGAAAATGCAGGTGAAGAAACCATTCCCGCTTGGAGAGGAGCCAGTTTGGGCAGCTGTTCTGTGACACAAACCAAGATTGTGCTGGCTATTAATCAGGATGGCAGGAGAACAGGTTGCTCCTTCTGAGAACAGCTGGAGATGGTCTTAGGAAGGACAGCAGGGCACGGCAGGATTGTATCCCTCCTCCTTGCTTCAGGATGCTCCCTGGGAACACTTATAGGAAAGCCCCCACAGACCTTTGGAGGACTAAAATCTCTCCCTTTCGGGTTTCTCCCACTACCCCAGTTTTTCAACCCCCAGCTCTGTGGGGAAGAGAAGCATGAGCCCCATCCAAGAGGAGAGCATCACAGATGACCTGGAGGAGGCCACGGTGCAAGAGGTGGACCTGGCCACTCCAAGCCCCTTCCAGGAGCCCGCTGAAGAAGAGAAGAAGCAAGCCAAGAAGCTTAGGAAGGGGAAAAGGGAGCAAACATTAGGTGGTAGGTGGTCTCTGCAGGGTGCTTGATCTGACAGCTATGGGTGGCCTCGGCCCATTTGCTGACCGGCAGGCCTGGAGTGAGGGAAAACCACCAGTTTCTGGTTTTCTACATAATCTGAGAACTTTGAACGTCGGATAAAAGAACATGGCAGAGGATATTGCTGCACCCCAGTTGTCTTTATTTTGCCCAGCATTGGGGTACTCAAAGCACATCAAATGGAGCTGCTGAGGCAGCTCAGATTCAGCTCCATCCTCTGAATACCCAAGGAAACTGGGGGGAGGGGGCGGCAAGACAGTTGCTGGCCTGGGATTCGTCCCAGCCAGCATGGACAAACTTTGGCCTGAGTGAGTTGGGTTTTGTGTTTGTTCAGCTGTGTGGTTGTGTTGTGTTTCTTGTAGGGGGGCTCAAGGTCACTCCCACCAGGCTCTTTGATGTGCCAGACACGTGGTAGCTGCCAGGAGCACCAATGAAAGAGGGCTTCCATTCCAAGGAACTGGTGGCGGCAGTGTCCTCCCAAGCCAGCCTGAAGGAAGAAAGGAGGCTGGTGCACAGTGGAGAGGCAGGACGCTTCTTGGAAACCTGTTTTGTTTTTTAATCTCTACTGAACAATCACGGTCACTGTTTTTATGTGTATGCATGCGTGTACATGTCCATTTCCTTGATTATGTGAAAGCCTTTGCTGTCGTGTGTATTAGATCAAAAGGCCAAACCGTGGGGCTGGACCATCCATTCATGTAACGTGGCAGAGTCTGTGCGCAGCTTGCTCTGCTGGTCCCCTCAATCCTCTGCAGACATTCAGGCACACCAGCGGCCAGTCGGGCGCCTGGCGCTTTCAGCCACTTCCTTCCCTGCCATCTTCTGCAATAGTAGAAGTGCATCTTATTCTCCCCCCCCCCCCCCCCCCCCAATTAAAGAGAAACTGTCCTTTCCCTTTGGGAAAGAAAATAGGTCTCAATCTTCATATTAAGTTTGAGAACTGGCTTAGTGTACCTGGAGGGGAGGGAAGCTTCTCCCGCACCTTTTCCATTGAACTGTGACTAGCATTCTATATTTAAAAAGACAGATAAACCAGCAGCTTCACCAGCTTTTATTAGTTTGAAAAATCAATCTTCATAAACTTGGTTTGATATTTAACATTTTTGTATCGTGGAATGAAAAATGTTATTTCCATACAGTGAAAAAATTAAAGAATCTTTTTCTTAAGAATCTGTGTTTATATTTCTATGGCTGGGCCCTTTTCTCCTGCAGCCACATAAATCCTCCACCTGGAGTGGCTTGCGGGCTTCTCTTTGCCTGATAAGCTGGGCCGGTTACACCAAAGGCCGCCCCCCAACGGGGCTCCTCTTGTGGAAGGCTGATCATTAAAGGAAGAAGAAGCCTGCTGGCACAGCCAAGGGAGGCCTTTTTCCTTGGGGAAAGATAGTCTCCCCATGAGAAACTGGCTGCAGCTCCTCCCTCGAGTTCTCACTTTCCGCTGCTACTGCCAGAAGGAAAACAGAGCCGTTCCTTTTCCCTGCCTTGATGGCGCAAAACCTACTCCTCACCTCTTTTCTAGTAGCCAGCGTAAAACTCTGGGCACTGCTCTGCGTCACTGTCCAGAGCAATGTCCAACAGGAGGGAAACCTGGGCAGGGTCAGTTCTTTGCCCTGTACCACCAGGGGTCATGGGGACTGTCCCTTCCGCTGTGAGGCTCTTCTGGAGCTGCCATTCCCAGGAATCGCTCGACAGGTTTCCTTTTCAGCCTAGATAAGCTGCGTTGGACAGACAGGAATTGGTGTTAATTGTGGGATTATTCTAGCAGAGTCCCTGATAGCCAGTGTAGCCTGAGGGGTGCAGGGAGCCCACAAACGGTGCAATTAGTCTTGATGCCCCGTCCTTAACCTTCACGCCTCTGACAGGATGGAAATATTTGCTTTTCGGCAGCCCCGTTTAGCAATGGATTGGGGGAGGGGGGGAAGAGTCAGGAAGTTGTCCAAGGCAAAGTCTGAAGTCTATCTGGTCCTTGGGTAGGAAGTTTCCCTGGTTCAGCAGCTGCCCCAAAACGTCCACACACTCCTTGGCCCCAGCTTTGAGATACGGCAAGAACAATAAGGATTTTTAGGGGCATTATGGTAGCATGGAAAAACACAGCTGCCCCCAAAAGTCCTCATTTTCCCTGCGCAAAGAGCAACTGTCAGAAGGAGCACTGGGGGCACCGGCCTGCTCCCCCACCCCCCAGCTGACTTTCCACCTAAGGGAAGGGTCAGCCCTGTGCAGATGATGCACGCGTGAGCTCTCCAGCCCCCCATGACATGCAGACATGCCTCACCCGGAAGGTTGTGCCCCTTCTGATGCCCCTTCAGAACTCTCCCCACCCCCCAGGGGGCTCAGTCCCTGTTTCTGCTGCAACTCGCAAAGGCCAGTTTGCTGGTCTTGCCAGCCCCTCGCCCATTTCCCTAGGCCAGTCTCCACTTTGGTCCTAACCTGAGCAGTTGAGCCCCCTCCCCGTCTGCATAGAAGCAGGATGACAGGGAGGGGCTGGGCTGCCCCTCCCCCACTTCCTTCAGCCTCTTCCCTGCACTGCCCAGCAAATGGAGGACGTTTTCTCCAGCGGCCCCTTTAAGGATTCCTGGTCCACGTCCCTCTCCAGGTGGCCACGGAGAACAGTAAAGGTCCCCCCCCTCCCGGTCCCAGTGCCCCGGTTGTCCTGTGCAGGAGCAGAGGAGGCCGCCTTCCAGCAGCGCCCGAGAGCAAAAGGTGAGCCCAGAAGCGGGACTTTGTGGGCCAGTTGGGTACCAGGCAAGCTCATCTCGCCCCCAAAACCCCGACTCTGGATTCACAGCCTCCCACGGGGACTCCGACAACAAGTCCCAGAGCCCCCACACCCCACCCCCACCCGCAAGCCCCGGCCTTCCCCGGTAGGAGCGCCCAAGCGATATCAGCGCCGGTTCCTCCCAGCTGGAAGCTCACCGGCTCCTCCCGCCTGGGGCCGCCCTTCGGACCCACAGCCGAGGGTGGTGAGGGGGGGGGCGCAATCTCTCGGTCATTTCTCTCTTTTTCCACCAGGGACCAGGAGGAAGGGCAACGGGGCTTCCACGAGACTAAGTGAAACGTCCTGAGCAGCAGAGCTCAAGGCGGGGGGCGGGGGGGGGGGCAACGTAGCCTCTCGGGCGTTTGGACTGCAACTCCCAGAATTCCCAGGCTGGGAGGGGGCGGGGCGCGCCAGGGCTGCGAAGCCTCGCTGAAGAGCCCCCCCTCCCTCCAGTCCGAGCAGCGCCTCCGCCGAGTTTCCCCCCGCCAGCGCAACTCCCGGCCACAAGAGCAGCCTCAGCACGGGACCCTCCGACGGCGAGCCCAGCCCAGGCGCGGGTCCCTCGGGCGGCCACTTGCGGGACGGGGGCTCCCTCGCGGGGCACTTACCCCTGCTCACTTACCCGCGGGGCAGCGCCTGTCTGGCTGGGGTGTGGCCGCGGGGAGGCTGGCCGAGAAACTCCCCCTCCTGGAAAGGAGGCCTGTTCCTCCGCCCGTGGGGCAGCGACGCGGCCGCGTGGATCCACAGACTGGGGATGGCTGTGGGATGGAGATACAGGCGGTCGCCCGTCCACTTTCCCGCGTGGGATATGCACCGACTTCCCGATGTCTGGAAGTGCGCGGGGGGGGGGCGAAGCACCCCAAGAAGAGGGCATCGGGTGCCCCCTGACACGCGTGGACAGAAGGGAAGGCTCTGGGGTCCTCCTTGAGGTTGCACAAGAAATAAGTTCCCTTCATCTTGGAAGCCCGCGCAGCGAAGAAAGTTCCGTGTTCGCCTGCACGTGGGAACTGCCCCCGCCGCCGGACCGCCCTAAAAATGAGCCCCTCCCATTCCTCCTGTCGCCCCCGCTGGGGTAGCCAAGGGGTAGCTGGAACTCGCGAGGCACGGACGGGGTTCGAACCCGTGATCTTCGGTTTACGAGACCGACGCCTTACCACTTGGCCACCGCGCCTGCGTTGAACGGGGCGCTTTGCTCCTATCTAGGCTGGCGGCGCTCCCGAGAACCTCGCGCGGACGTCCAGGCCCCGCCTGCGCGAGACGCTCCGCCCCGAAGAGGGCTCCGAAGTAAGGGCAGGCCGGGCGTCGCGATGGCGCGCTGCGCAAACGCACGAAAAGGGGGGGGGTAGGGTTAGGGTTGTCTTCGTGCGCATGCGTTCCCGCCCCGTGGCCCCGGAGTCGACCGGTTTTTCCCGTCTCTCGTGGCCGCCCGGGAAGCGACCTCGCTCGGCGGAGCCCGCGGGAAGTCCCGGGACCCCATTCCGGCCGACGAGGCCAGGCCGCCGCCGCGCGGCCGGAAGACACCTCCGGACTCGGCTGTCAAGCAAACGGTTTAATGACCCCCGGCGCGGCCTCCCCGGGGCGGCCCTGCCCAGCGCCCCGCCGCCGTCTGGCCGGGCGCCGCGGGCCGCCTCTCCGGGGCTCCCCGTGCCGGCGCTCGGGGCGGGCCACCTGCGGCACCCGGCCGCCGCTCATGTCCAGGATGCGCTGCGGCAGCGCCCAGCACACCGTCCTCCCGGCGGCCCCGCGGCTCTCCGGGACCGGGCAGGCGTAGCAGAAGGGTCGGGCCGGCGGCGGCCCCCGGCGCTTCCCCGCGCCCGTCTCCACGCGGAGGCTCAGCCCGGCCCTCTGCCGCGGGCGCAGCGCCGCCTCCAGCCGCTTGTGCAGGCGCAGGTGGAGCTTCTCCCGGGTGAGGTGCAGCCGCAGGAAGAGGCTGGCTCGCGTGGCGGTCGCGTCCCGCTGGCTGCCCGCCGCCTGCAGGCCCACGGAGAGGGACAGGGCGTCTCCGCGTGGTGCTCTTTCCCTGCCCTTCCGGCCTTCCTTGAGCCCCGCCGCTCCTTTCCCGTCCGCCTGGGCTCCGGCTTTGCTTTCGCGGGCGGGGAATCTCTGGGCGCTCCCGGCTCCTTCGGCTGCGGCTCTTCCGGCCTCGGCTGCCGGCTGCGGGAGAGGAGAGCAACGCATCGTTCCTTCCAGCTCTGCCGGTCGGTGCTCCTCCTTCGCTCCCTTCTCCGCGGACGGGGGGAGAGCCCGGTAATGCAACGTCCCTTCCAGCTCCGCCTGAGCGTCCCGGTCTTTTTTGCTTCTAGCCCCGGCTCCGGTGGAGGCGTATCGCAGCCTTCCTTCCAGGTCTGCCGGTCGGTCCGCATCTCTTTGGCTTCCTGTTGTTGCTCCTTTCTCGGGGGTCTCCGAGGGAGCCCTGTAACGCATTGTCCCCTCCAGCTCTCCCCAGTCGTCCCCATCTCTCTTGCTTGCTCCCCTCTCAGCGGCCGGTACGGGGAGAGCCCTGTAATGCATGGTTCCTTCCAGCTCCGCCTGCTGATTCTCACCCCTTTTGCTTCCAGTCCCTGCTCTGGTGGGCGTGTGGTGCATTGTCCCCTCCAGCTCTCCCTGTTCGTCCCCATCTCTTTTGCTCGCCCCCTTCTCAGGGGAGGGTGGGACAGCCCTGTAAGGCTCTGCCTGTTCGTCTGCCTCTTTTTTCCTTCCTGCCCCTGCTCCCTTCTGGAAGGTTGGTGGGAGACCCCTGTAAGGCTCTCCCTGCTGGTCCCCATCTTTCTTGCTTCCTGCCTCTTCTCCTTCTGCCTTCTCTCCTTCCTTAAGGGGAGCTGGGAGACCTGTAGGTCGGTCTTGTAGCTCCTCCTGCAAGTTTGCAGCTTTCAGAGTCCTGATTTTGCCATCCGTCATTTTCTCCCCCGGTGCTTCTTGCCTGGTGCTGGGACTGTCTTTACCAGCTGCTCCCTGGCTCTTAGGACAAGGCATGGCAAGAGATGCTTTCTTAGGCTGGATCCTGTCACCTGGTGCTTCCGTTTCCTGGATGGGGACATTTCTAAGAGGCAGGGCCAGTGACCGGGGTGGGGGTCCTTCAGCCTTTTTGGAGGGAGCGCTGGGAGCCAAGCAGCTCTGCTTAAAGAGGTCTGTAAACTGCACATCCCGAGGCTCTTCTGCAGGAGCCAGGGGGACAATACGGGGGCCCTGGGGCTTTGGTGGCTTTGGAATCAGGAGAATTTGCTTTGATTCAGGGCCCCTGGAGGTCGAGGCCCCCTTCCGAGGAATCTTCAGTACCAGTATGGGAACGGGGGGCTTCTGAGGAACTCCCTTCTCTGGGCTGCTGGAACACTGGGTTGCCTTTGAAAGGCCCGGGATGGTCTTTTCCGTGGGTTTTGAATGCAGCGTTTCGATTCCCCAGGTGAAGACCATGTACTTGTGGCTGATATTGAAGTCAATGATGCAAAGCGCCTCTTTGGCCACAAAGGTCAATGAGAGGTGTTTGGGCCTTGAGATTTTGTTGCCAAAACGGATCAGCTTCGGCAGAGGCTTTACAGAAAGGATACTGAAGGTGCGGAGGGAGTCCTCGACCATTTCAGGGAAGGCTCCCTTCTGAATTTCCACCATTTTCACTGTTAAATGGAAAAGCAGCTTCTGGAGTTTTTCTGGCTCCACTGAGAAAAGGACCTCATTTCTTTGGCTTCTCTGGAAATCTCTTGGTTTAAGGCCTAGCTTCTCCTCAGGAGCAGGGAAGGCCACTTTTCTGATTTCTTCTGGGTTTGCTTTGTGAAAAATATGGTACTCTTTGGCTCTTGGAGGCTCCTGAAAAGATTTCATGTAGACGGCCATGGCATTTCTAGGGAGGAGGGGAGGGTGCGCTGGAGCTTCAGCGTCGCTCGGGATTAGTAAAACATTTTGCATTGTTTTTTTAAGATCCCCACGGAAGGATTTTTTTTTCACAGATTGAAACAGGTTCACAGAGTTGATGACCACAGTGGGAACGCCACACCGTCTCTGAACCATTTTCTTCTTGATGTGAAATTCCAAGAAGTTTCTACTTTTCTCATCCATTCCTTTTAGAACAGTTGGGACTTCCTCTGAGTCGGGAGGCAAGGCACTCACAGGGTCTGTAGTAACCTTCAACGGCTCTTCCTCTTTTTCAGAGGAAGGTTTTGGGGCGGATTTCTCTGTTGTTTTAGCAAGTTCCCCTTTTTGCTCCTTCACCCTGAGGTCAAGACACTGGATGGCCATTTGATCCAGCAAGGGGAGAGGTGAAGGTTTTTCTGCCGCTTCCTCTTTATCCTGGATCCTCAACCTGGGAAGAGAGCCGGGGGCTGTGGGTGCTGGCAGGGGTCCCATGCGGATTTCGAGAGATTTCTCCACCAAAATGACATGATCCTCCTTTTCAAAAGTGGAGCTCTGGACAATGTTTATTTGTGCAAAAGACGTCTGCGGGACTCCCTTAATTTCAGGATGACTCTCCGGAAGCAACGGTGCACCTTTTATTTCAGGAAGTCTTTCTGGGAATAAAGGGATAAACGATGGCCCACGTTGTTTTTTTTTCTTCAGAAAATAAAGGTCTTCTGATTCCGAGGAAAAAGAATCGGAGCTGCTGGCTTCGGAAGCGTCCGAGGAATCATGCATTCTCTGGGAAGTATCTGTAGCCACACGGCAGCACAAGTTCAAGTGTTTTAGGAGCGGCAAGCAGGAGGAGGAGCCGGAGGAGGAGCTGGAGGAGGAGGAGGAGTGCTTTGGCAGAATCATGGTGGCCCTTAATAAAGGAGGTAGACAGGGGAGGTACTTTTGGTATAAATTCTCATCTTGACACAAGCTTCGTGGAGTTTGGTATGGCTCGTAAGGATGTCTGTGCACCTGACAAGGCAGCTCATAACTGTAGAAATAAAGAAAAAAGCAGAATTGTCTTACACTGCTAGACGAGAAAAAAGTGTTTCCACTTCCAGATGACTCCATTTATAAAAAAAATAATCACTGTATTTCTCCAATGTGCCCATTCCTACCCTGTTGGGAAATCTTCCACCTTAGACAATTCTTCAGACCTTAACTTATCTGAAGAACTGTCGTGACTGTTTTATGATGCCCAGAGAGGTGAACCTGCCTGGCCAGCCCCACTGAGCCTTCCCCAGCAACACAAGGAGCCCAGCCCCAGCCAGCTCCTCACAGCTCCCCCACAGGGGACTGAGAGGACAGAAAGTGCATTTGCAGAGAACCTCCTAGAAAAACAGATTTCACCTACCTTTCAAAATCAGATGTTAGTTGCCTCCCACAAATGCAGCTAGAATCTATAACAGAAAAAAGGATATATTTGGAATTTATTTTTAATCAACTTATAGAAAGTATTTTTAAAACATCCACCAAGCTGCCTTGACTATCTTGTTATAGAAAAGAAAAACCTGCCAGGTGATCTTTGGACGATGGAGAAAGAAGAGAACTGATGCTGCCTTTAGAAAGTCTTAAACCTGAGTTATACAACTGCAGGAATACGAGATTTGGCAAAAGGCTTGCTAGGTCAGCAAAATGGGGAGCTCTGATGGAGCTGGGAAAGACCAGGGCAGGTCCTGAGTGGAACCTCATGAGGGGTGGGAAGGAGTCCTGTGTGCCACTGGCTCCCATTCACAGCGCAAACAGCCACCATCCCTGGTGAACCTCGACGTAATGCCACTGGGGCCCAGCTCTACTCCAGGGAAAGATGAAGTTGGAATAAACATACGTTTTGCTTGTGTGGCTGGAAAGTCCGTCTCTTCTTCGCACGCTGCTTCAGGCTGTAATGGGGGGGGGGGAAATGTTACTGGGTTTCAAATTTTCTCATGGTGAAACTGCATTCTGGCTTCCCAAAGGCAAGAGATGAAAATTGCAGCAAAACTTAAAATGTGTGAGTTGGCCCCTTCCGGTTTGGGAGTACCATTGGTAGCTCTCCTGCTTCAGCATGAGGGTAGAAGACCCTCTGAGGCTCATGGGCTTCTGGCCAGCTGCATTAGCATGGCACCAGATGCCCAGGTTCCTTCTGCTGCCCATCTGGCGGCTCTGGGGAGGGCTTGGCTGAGTTGGTGCCTACTCTCAGGAGGTCTCCCTACAATTGTCTCTTTGGGGACATCGTGACCTGCCAGGCCTCCTCTGGGCAAAGGGGTGTGGGGAGTTGATACTGGCTTCCAATTTCCTTCCCCATGTAACACGCCTTCTGAATGAAGATGGTTTATATGGTTTGGATTTATTATCAAATGTTGTAGTTTTATTGTAAACCATGCTGACTTGTCCTTATATGGCAGTCCATCATTTCAGAAAAACCAGGATGCTTTGGGTCAACTAGGCCGCATCTAGGCCAGTGACCTGCCTCTGGATAAACCCCTCTCTTTGAAATACAGCCAGTCTCAGATAGATCCACAGAAAATTAAGGACAACGTGGCTCAGTGTCACCTGTTTTAATACCACCCTTCCAATATTTGAAGGGCACATTCTGTACCACTGAAAGATGACCTTCCATGTTCAGAGGCAGCCTACCCTGTTGGCTTCTTGCCAGGAAGCTGGATATGGGGGGTGTCTGACCTGGTCCCACATTCTCAGCTCCACTCAACACTCATGTCCCCCCCTTCCAAAGCTCACACACACAAGTGAGAGTTTGTAGTTATGGTGGCTGATTTCCCTGCTTCCTTTTTAGTTTTCGGGACCATTTGCAAACCCAGATTCTCCATCTGCAACTGCAGGGTGGCCTTCCGTGCCATGTTCAGACTGGGCTAAGCTCCCGCAGAAAAGCATTGGAGAAAATTAGGGGTGCTTTTGCTCAGCCAAGCCCTGTGCTGCTGTGGATGTGCAAGCTGCCCAGGACTGCATCAGAGAACGCAATACGCAAAGCCATCTCTTTACCAAGGGAGGAGGGCTGGGCTGCGCCGCATGACTCTCCGTTGCGACGGGCCGCCTGAGCTGGGCTTGCCACCTGGCCAGGCAGGAGGAGGTCCAGATTTCAAAGCCCAGCCAGAGCAGCAGCAGGACCGCTCCGGCCAGGGGGAACCCCCAGGTCGTCTCTGGGATCCAGCAGAAGCCTTGCGAACACAACATGTGTTGGAACTGGGACAGCAGGTCTCCCTCCGGGCAGGAGCCAACGGGGCCATTTTTTCCATCTGCTTCCCGAGCAGTCCGGCTCCGGAGGGGGGGGTCCCCCGCTGAGGTCCTTCTGCAGCACCAGGGAACCAAGCACCAAGGCTGCATAGCCAGACCTCATGGCCCATCCAGCAAGCTGCGTCCTCTTTCCATCTCTTCACCTGTGGGGTGGCCAGTGCCCCAGTCAGGAGGCAGAGGCCCAGGCTCCTGTCTGATGGGTCACAATAGGTCCCCTGTGGGTGTGGTTGCTAAGAGACCTGGCTTTGGTGTTGGGAGCCTGCTGCTTGGCCGGAGGGAACGGATGGAGCTTCACACATCCTTCCTGCCTCCAACTTCCTCACCAGACGCCATTTTGTTCTGGCTCCCTTTCTCTCGTGCCCCAACCCCTCTTCACTCCATGGGTGGCACAGCCAGGGCAATAAGAAAAACCAAGAGCAGAGGGAGAAAAACCTAATTCATTTTTATTTCAGCACAAAAAAGGACTTTTGAGGTACAGTTGCACATGCTGTAGAAGACAGCAAAGCTTTGAGGCTTCACAGGGCAGAAAAAAAGATAAAATGAAAGCCTCAGGAAAAGGGCTGCTGGTCGGCCCAACAGACAAAGCCCCCCCCCTCCAACCGAATGCTCTCTGGACATCTTGGGGGGCCAGCAGTGGACACGGGGGGGGGGGAACAAGGCTGGCCTCGCTTGGTCCCTTTCAACCACAGAGAAGCTGGAAAAGAGCAAATCTCAGGTGACACACCTCACTCCCCAGGCCCCCTCCTTGCTGGAGGGAAGGGAGAAGGGAAGCAGACAGGCTCTGGGCCTGTTTAGTTCCTGCCGGAGGAGGGGATTGGAAGGCACAGTCGGTGAGTGATGGGCTAAGGAAAGCCTGGCAAGAACTCATGAATGCGTGAAAGACACACAAAAGACACACCAAGTCCAGGTTGCAGCAGGTCTGCCTGCCGTCGCCACTCTCTGGGCCCCCCAGCTCTCTCTACACCCCCCCACCCCGCGCAGAGCAGTGCGGAGGGCCATGGGGAGGCGGGCGCAGCCAGGGGTGCAGTTTGGGGCCTCTGTGCTGGAGGGCTCCAGCGCACCACTCGAGTCCTGAGCAGCCCAGCAGAGTCACGTCTTGGCCAAGAGCATCTCCTCGATGCCCTTCTTCCCCAGCCGATAGCGGGCCAAGTCCTTCCGCGTGACCAGCCCCACCACCTGCAAGGCAAGAGGGGCGCATATGCTCAGGCTGGGCAAGCAGCCCCCCCCCATCAGCTGGAGGAGCCGCTCCCTGCAAGAGAACCCCTACTCTTCCCACCCCCGAAGGACCACTACCTGGTTCTGATTGTCCACGACCACCAGGTGGCGCAAGCCCAGGGCTCGGAAGAGCTTGAAAACCCTCGGGAGGGAGGCCTCCTGCAATGGGAACCCAGGCCGGTCAGGCGGAGGGAGCCAAGGCATGGAGGAGGACTGCGCCCCCTCTGGCTGGCGGGCTGGGTCCATCCACCCGACCCTTCCCCTCCAGCAGCCACCCAGAAGCAGACCTCCTCCCTTGAGCCTGCTGCCCCTGCAGCTAGATGGGCCAGCTTGGGCCCAGAAGTGAGATGCCCCTCCAGCTGCCACGCCTGGCCATCGCCTTCCACTAGGGAAGCCCCCAATGCCCTCCGGGCCCCTTTACCTGTGGCACAGTGTAGGGCGAGGGGTTCATGAACTCGGTCAGGTCCATCATGCACTCGCGCTCGTCCTGGGAGACGTGGATGGACTGGATGGGGGGGAAGCGAGGGTAGGCGTCCCGGAAGTCTTTCAGCTTCAGCCGCCGCTGCCGCAGAGACAGGCTGGCCCGCTCCACAAAGACCTGCAAGGAGATGGGAAGCATCCTGGGGGCCACCCCACTTGGCCCAGGCCACAGGACGCCGACCAGCTCCCCTCCTAATAATGGCCTGGAGGTCCCCCGAAAGCCTGGCTCGGGTGGCTGGTCGGGCAGCCTGTTCCCTGTCCCAGCATGCATGCTTCCCAAGTGTTGTGGTCCGCCAGCAGCCTGTGGAGCTGGCAGCTGAGTTGGACAGCAATGAGGCTGAGGAAGAACATGAGCCAGTCCTGGAGGCTGGGGAAGGCCCGGACGAGGACTCTGCGTCGGAGGCAGAGATGGGGCCAGGACCATTGGGGAGTGAGGCGCAGTCTTTGGAGCCTCCAGGGGCTGACAGTAGAGAGGCAGAGGAATAGGAGGAGCCTGTTCCTAGTGCACATACGAGAAGAGCTGCCAGAAGGCAGGCGCAGCTAAAGCAGAGAGGACGACTCAGGAGTAGGGCCAAGAGATAGTTGGCCCCTCCCATAAGGGTTAAAAGACCTGCAACTGCTCTTGACTTCTTGTCAGCGTCTTCTGTTCCTGAACTGTTGCCAAGAAAAGCCTTTGGCAGTTTGCCTAATTATCCCAAGGTCAGAGATAAACTGAAGAATGGTGTTTTGAGGACTTTGCTTTCATTTAATTTGGAATAAGCTGAGAATGAGTTAATTCTCAGCTGTTTTAATAAAATCTGTTTTTTGGAACTGTTTTGCATTTAATATTAACTACGTGGGCCTGGGTCACAACACCAAGCCCCGTTGGCTCCCACGGCACCCATCGGCCAGACCCCGTGCTCCCCCGACCCAGCGCACACCTACCTTGTGCTTCAGGAGCACAATCAGCTGAGAGCGCAGGATCAGGCCCCGCAGGCCCATCGTCTGCAATGAGAGAGGCTTTCCTGGGTCACTGCAGAAATTGGGGTTGTTCCCACTCCAACAATGGGGAGGTCCGGAGAGAAGAGAGGCTCATCCTGGCTCAACCCTCAGCAGATGCTGGGCACCATCTGGCACTGAGGGCTCTGCTGCTCCATGGTTCCTCCTACAACCCCCTCTTCCCCCCCCCCCGCACTCTTTTATGCCAAATGCTGCTTTCGGTTAAAACGTCTGAGAAGGCCCTTTGGAGACAAATCTCCAAATCTGGGAGGAAAAGAGACTTAAACCGTCCTGCCAGCAGCAAGCCCTGCCTGTCACAACAACAGCAGCTCCCTGGGGTTCCAGCCAGGCCCCCAATCCTCTGCCTAACTGGGGTGCCAGCCCATGCCGGCCACTTTCCCACCTGGTTGCTGCCAGGGCTGCTCTCGACTACGGGGAAGCCATTGTGATTGGAAGCCGCGTCGCTGAGGATATCCACGACGGTCCCCACTTTCTCGCTCTGCCGCAGGCAGGTGACCGGGGTGCTCATCACCTGGCTGGAGGGAGGGGAGCCCAGACTCAGCCCAAGGGCAACCGTTGGGATGCAAGAGGGCAAGGTTCCCACCAGGAACCCGGGGGAGAGGCCCTTGCCCATCAGGGAGGCGGGAGGGGGCCTCCCTCCCCCACTGGCCTCTTCCAGCGCCCCTTCCCTACTCTATCAGACCTGGAGGGAGCCCAGCAGGTGCCAGCTGGTCAACTTACGTGGCTGTGAACGAGTGCGAAGTGACCGGTGCCTCCCAGTGCAAGAAGGGGACGCTCTGGAGCTGGATGTGCATATCATACAAGCCCTGTAATTGGGGGGGGGGGAAAGGGGGGGTGAAAATGGGTGAGAGAAACCCTGAGCCCACAAAGGGGGATGGGTTGGGGTCCACAAACAGGGGGAGCCCCCGGGTGTTCCTGGCAGACGCTCCCCAAACTTTCCGGGATAATTCTTTCTGCAGGAGGGGGAGCACACAGGGTGCGATGACAGTCCTGCCAGACAGACGCTGGGAAGTCTGGGCTGGCAGTCGGGAGGGGAAACTGAGTCACAGAAGATCCCATCTGGCCTGAGTCATGCCAAGGTGGTCTTGAGGGTGGTGCTCTCCCAGCCGCCATGGGCAGTCCTCAGGATAAAATGCTGCTGGGTCTCTTGACCTCCCGCCGGAGCCCTTCGGGGGGCAGCCCCTCACCTCCGCAAAGAAGTCCCCCACAATCTTGGACGTCATCAGGACCAGCATGATGGGGAACCCGTAGGTGACGTTGCCCGTGGCCTCCATCATGATCACAGTCAAACTCAGCGTCATCCTCACGATCCCCCCTGGAACAAGAGCCCATGCTGGCACCACTTCCTCCTCCTCCAGGAAGAGGCCCTGCTGCCTCGTCAGGCACGACTGTCATTTTGCCCACCAGGAGCCCAAACAGCCAGGAAGGCGCCGCCTTGTCCAGAGCCATTTTCCCACCCAGATTGAGCCCTGGCTCTGCTCCTCCCAAAGGTACCAACCTCCCCCCCGCCCCCGCCCCCACCAATGCACAATAGAACTGGACTCTGCTGAAGACCAGCCAGCCCCCCCTCCCCCCGTGGAGGCCTTGGAAAGGGGCTCAGCTCTTCCATACTCACCCAGCTGTGCTGCAGCTCCCATCAGGGCATACTTCCCTGGATCGGCCCTGATCTGGAAGCCAGAGAAAAAGCAGGCAGTGGGGCAGATGGGATCCCACGAGCCCCCATAGTGCGGGGGAGGGGACTGACCTCAGGATCAGCACAAAGCAGCCCAGACCCACATCCTGGGCTCCAGATGGCCCCTGCAAGGGAACTCGCTGAGCCGCAGACCCTCCGCATTCTCCCGGGTCTGTGGGGAAAGGAGCCCCAGGCTTACCAAACCATTGGGAATGTAGGACAAGGAAATTCCGAAGAGGCGGCCCCAGGCAGCGCCGATCAGCAGGGAAGGGATGAAGACGCCCGCGGACACGGTCAGCCCGTAGGTCCAGCAGGCCAAGAAGAAATACACCAGGGTGAACAAGCCCAAGGTCATGGGGTCGTAGGTGCCTGGGGGAGGGAGAGCAGAAGACTCTTCAGACCAAGAGAAGGGGGGGGTGAGCTGGGCCACGGTAAAACCCTGATGGCTGGTCAGTTGCAGAAGACTAAGAAGGCCACGCCAAGCAGCCACCGTGGCTGATAAATTGTGGCTCAAGGCATCACTGCAGCCAGCAGAGGCAGCTCCTTGTGCCATAGTTAAGCCCTGCTGAGCCCAACCACATCTGTGTGGCAGCAGAGGCAGCTGACCTGGAGGGTCGTGGAAGAGGCGGACCACACTCTTCTCAGGGGTGTTGAAGAAGGCAGCGGCCATTGAGTTGTACTGCCCATCAGGGCAAAAGAGCTGGCGAAAAGGAAACGGGGAGGAAGAGGAGAAGCTTGTTACTGTCGTAACGGGGAAAAGCAGAAGCATCGTATTCTGGTGGAGCCTCAGAACCGAAGGGGATGCATGGAACCCGTGGCCACACTTCCCTCCCACCCATCCCCTTGTGTTTAAAACTCCCATCCTGCTTGCTGTTTGCCCTCTGGTTGACCCCCAAGCCTGGGCCCTTCAGCAACAGGCCTCAACTCCTTCCGGCTCAACCCCCCCCCATCCTCTACCTGCAGCGGGTAGGCCATGCTGTTGTCCTGGAGAGGCTGGCAGTCTGTAGAACTGTAGATGAGGACAAACGCAATCGCTGCCGTCACGGCCCCCACCAGCACGGCCTCAATCACCTGCAGGCACGGGCGGTGGATGTACCTGGGGAACGGAGGGACAAAGCGCAGGTCAGCCGGGGGCTGGATGGAACAGGGCCGCCGAGAGGACAGACTCGGGGGCTGAGCCCCGCCAGGATCTCACCTGATCCGGAACATTGTCAGCCAATAGTTCAGAGCATTGAACATGGCACCAAGGATCCCCCCTGCAGCAGGAGGGAGAAAGAGGCGGGTCAGGAAAGGGGCACTGCAAGGGCTCTGGCGCCCTGCCTCTGCAGAATCTGGGGATCCCAGGGTCCCCTCATCCCAGCTGAATCCACATCACGTCTGCGGGGCTCAGCAACGCAGATCAGCCACGCAGACTCAGGGAGGACGGCAGGAGAGGGGAGACTGCAGGGGAAAGAGCAGCACTAACGGTCCACGTATTTGCTGAGGACTCCACAGGCTGTACAGGGAGGCACAGACCCATCGCCGGTGGGGCTTCTTCCCCAAGAGGCCCGCCGGTGCCCAGTGCCCAAGTGGTGGATGCAGCCACCCCCGTTCTCTTGGGTTTCTTACCCAACACACCAATGAAGATGAAGATGGGGATTTCTTGGAACGTGTACCCCATTTTCTGAAACAGGGAACAGAGAGGTATGAATGCCAGGAATACTGGGGAGAGTCTGTGCTCAAGAACCCAACAGCTGCCTGGCACTGCCTCTCCCCCCCAGCATAGGCTCCTCCGTCCACCCCTCCACCCACCTGAGGGGCAGCAGCAACAGCCCGGCCTTTGCCAATGAAGCTCAAGGGCTCCGCCGCTCACTCCGTTTCGCAAACACACCACCAACCCACTGCCCCGGCATCTCTTTCCCCAAAACCAAGGGAGACCAGGCAGCTCCAGCTGGGTGGGAATGACTGGATGGGGGCCCTACCTCGGAATCAAACCTGCCGAAGTTGATGAGGCCGGGGCTGGAGAGGTCCAGGGGATTGCCCTTGTAGACGCTGAGAATGGAGTTGAGGGTGAAGGTGGAGATCATGGAGGCGAAGAACTGCAGGGGGAAAGAGGAGAGGAGACGGGCAGCAGCAAGACCCTTGGGGGGGCTGGACCACTGGGCGCAGCCCCCTCCCCTCCCCAGCACTTACAATCCGCCAGGTCAGGAACTGGTTCCAAAAGGAAGCGCCTTCTTCCAAGCTGAAGAGGACCCCACCTGTGGAGGAGGGGAGGGGGCACGGGTGAGCAGCCACCCATTCCCCAGGGCAGGAGCCCCGTGGCCCTCACCCTGCCCAGCTCTGCTCTTCCTAGGCATCCGGAGAGGGACCCCATCTTTGCCAAAGAGAGGCTCAGGGAGGGAGAAGGAAGGGGCTTTACCAACAGGGGCCCCAAAGGCAGCCGAGACGCCAGCGGCAGCTCCGGCCGAGACAAAATCCCGCTTCTCCGTATCCCTCCGGAAATACTCAAAGATCTGCAGGCCAACAAAATAAGGAGTTTATGTGCAAGAAGGACACGCCTTTCCTCTCCTGCCGGATGAAACTCCCAAGCGCCCCCCTCCCCCGAAGGCCAGATCCCACCCAGATCTTGGCGGGGGGGGCGCAAAGCTACTGACCCTGAAGTCCCTCTTCAAGGAAGTTGAGCGCCCTTGAGAAATGCCAGCTGCAATGACAGCCCCCGAGTGGATCATCGGCCCTTCCTGGAAGCAGAGGGCAGAGGGGTCAAAGAGACTTTCGGACAAGGGTGTGGACCCTGGGCAGGGGAAGTGTCTCTCTCCAGTTGGGAATGCCCATCCTCTCTTGCTGCTCCACCCAAATCAGCAGCCTGGCATCCATCACGCTCCTCTTAGCCAATTCCCCCGTCCCGCGTGGGGCTGTCTGGCCCGAAGGCAGGCATCAGTTCATCCAGTGCCACACTTGAGTTGTTGGAGGGAGGAGGCGGCAGGAAGACTGTTTCCCAGAACCCCCTGGTATCAAATCAGTAGGGCAGCTCCTCCCCTCCTCCTTTACCTTCCCCACTGCCAGGCCTCCAACCACAGAGAAGATCACGCCACAGACTTTAACCATCAGGGTCTGCAACGAGAGCACACAGGAGGCCACAAGTCAGTGGGGGTGCCAGACTCCACAATAATCTCCCTGGTCCCCAAAGACCCCAACCCTTGTCAGAAGCATTTCTGCACCCCAAAAGGGACGCTCCTCCCTGACTCGCTGCTGCTTGGCTGCCGAAGCCCCCAAGTCAGAAGGAACGCCACGCGACAACCCTCCCTCATCAAAGCAGAGTCAGTCAGTGTGCGCCCTTACGAAGAACCACAACGCAACACAACCGCACGCCCCTGACCTTCAGCCGAACCACGTGGGGGATCTTGACTCCATTCAGGTAGCACTTGATCTGAGGAATTCCGCTGCCGGCGGCCACGGGCTGCAAAGGCAAAGCACTCGGTCATGGCGGCCCAACTGCCGCTACGGAGGACGTACGCAAGCCAAGCCAAGCCTCACCTCCAGAAATGCGACAATGATGGAACCGGCCATCACAAAGCCTGCGTTCACAGTGGCCCAGAGGAGCAGAGAGAAGGAGAGGCGTCCCGTCTCTGTGAATTTGTCAATATCTGGGCAAAAAAAAGCTTAGGAAAACCACCCGGATGCTGATTAGGCTCCTCCTATCGGGATGACTTGGTTTTTACTTTGGCATCCACTTTTACAGACCTGGGGGGAGGGGCGGAGGGGGAGGGGAGGGGAACATCCCGGAAGAGGATGCCAATGCCGGGCAGAGCTGAATTCCCCCCCAGAATCCCTTGGATGGCCAGGCTAGAAACCCCACCACCGCCCTGCGCCCCTGAAGGATACTGCCCTTCACCAGCTTGTACTTGAGCCCTGCTAAGGTCTCGACCGTGATGTCAATGAAGCAGGCGACCAAGCCGGTCAGGATGCCGATCATGGCACAGATGAACCAGCGCTGAATTTCCACTGTTTGGAATGCCTGTATAATGGGGGAGGTGATCAGAGCCCAGGCCGCCCCCCCCCCGCCCTTTCTCAGTCAGGCTTTGATGCTTGCTGCGCTGTGGCCCAGAAGGCGGCATGGCAACTGGCAAAGCAAGGTTCTAAATCTGATGTTGGTCTTACCTGCAAGCCCTTAATGTGGGCAAACCAAGGTCACCCTCCTTGTTCTATGCGGGGGGGCTCCCCACCTCACACACTTTCAAGGCTTGGCCCAGCCCTCTGCACCCTCCCTCATTCCTGGCAGAGCTGATGAGAACTGGGGGCCCAGCATTCAAAGCTACATTTGGTTGCCAGAAGCCCCTTTTCAGGCTCAGCCACAGGAGCAGCTGAGAACAACACAACATTAGGAAGCCAGGGAGAACCGCCCCCACTCCCAAAGGGAAAGAGCACCTGGGAGCTGTGGCTGCAGCAGGGAGAGGGTCCACTGCTTTCCCCTTGAGGTTCTTCAGATGCACAAAGGGTTTGCCCCAGAGAGGAGAGGTCCAAGAGCACCAGCTGGGATGCCCAGGAGAGACGGACTCACCGTGTGGTTAATTCTCTTCTCCTCTTCCAAGAAGAGCTGGTTCTCACAGTTGTCATAGTCCAAGCTCTGCAGGGGGCCAAAAGACGGAGACCCCTTCAGGGAAAGCGGGCACCCCCACCCAGCTGCACAGTGACAGCTTTGCCTCCGGCTCACTGGAAGAAGGGCTCCCTTTCCACAGTGATCCCAACCCCAAACCAGGCCCTTCCCAGGATGAACAGGGCAACTCACTTCGTACTTGAGGGAGAGAAGCTTGTTGTTGTGTGGAATCTCGCTGGGGAGGGACTGAGGGGCTTCCGTTTCCTGCGAGGAGCCAGAATTCAATCAAGACCCCTGGACTTAGCCCCATGCTGCTGCCCCCACACCTCCCACCAGGAGGCTTGCTCACCGTGCTCTCGTGGTCCCCAAGATCCACATTGCTCAGGCGCCCAAATCGTGAGGAAGATGAAGAAGGGCTCAGCTGCAGAAACAAAAAACATCTGTCTTGCTTGAGCTCCCCAGTTCTTTTTGGGGCTGGAAGGATTCAGAGCAAACACGCTTTATCCCTGGGAAGCCCAACAGCTCTGCAGGCAGCGGGGCCCTTTCATCAACAGCACGTGGCTGCATGAACAATGATTAAATTTCCGTTTCCAGCTCTGAGCGTGTGACGTTCCAGCAGGGAATGAAAAGCCTCATTCTGCTGCGCTGGGGGAGGAGGGAGGAACACAAGAGGAAGGAAGAGCAGAAAAGTCACGGGGGGGGGGGGGAATGGATTCACAAAGCCACCACAGGCCCGTTGCCTGTGCCCAATCAGGATCCCAGCTGTTCCTGGGGAGCATTTGTGCCACTCTCTTGGATGAGGAGGAGGGGCCCCAAGAGGTGGCTGGCAGAGACAGCCCTTTGCCCATCAACTTTGTGGCAATCCGTGGGCAGTTTCCAACAAGTGGCCTGCTTTGGCTGTGACTGAAAGATGCAGGAGAGGCAGATTTAAATGTTTCGAATTTAGAGCAATATTTTAGGCAACAGAGAGACTGTTTCCTGTAAACTGTTGTGTGTTAGTAGTGTCAACATGTTGAAAAATAGCCAAAATAGCAGGACGGCTGTCAGAAACTGTCCACCGATTGCCACAAAGCTGATGGGCAAAGGGTTGTCTGTGCCAGCCGCCACTTGGGGTCCCTCCAGAAACAAACCCCTCATCCAAGAGAGTGGCACAAAAGATCCCGGTGAACAAGGTCCCCAAGCGCTGTCTGATTGGGCCCAGGCAAGAGGCCTGGGAGGGATTCCAGGAGCACCACTGGATCGCCAACGGGCATCAAAACAGGACCTTAGCAGTCTGCCCCGGGCCGCCGCCCCCGGAGCCTGTTCAGCGCCACTTTCTCGCGCCTTCACCTTCCAGGCGCACCAGCCGCTTTCCCTCTCCTGGAGCCCAGAGCTCAGAGCAAGAGGCCCAAGAGTGCCCGGCCACCCGCTTTGGATGCCAGGGCTTGGAGGCCGGCTGCAGCTGTGGGCAAGAGGCTAGTCCTCGCTGAGCCCCAAGGACCGCGGGCCCAGGGCTGCGCCTTTTCCTGTAGGGGTAGGGAAGGCACTCTGCGCTTGCTCAGATTCCCTCAGCCGTCCGCGCACCGGGCTTCTCCGCGTCCACGGGGGCTCCGCCAGCCTCACCTGCCCGCCCGTGCCGTTCAGCAGCGGCGTAGTCTCGCCCCGGCCCTCGGCCTCTCCCTCCCGGCCAGACCACGACACCCGGGTCGCCACGTTCGCCATCGCCGCTCCGCAGGCCGGCCGACTCAAGAGCGAGCGAGCGAGCGGCGGTCATGTGACCTGCCGCAGCTGGCGAGACACGTGATCCGCCGCCTCGCCCGCCCCGGAGCATCACGGGGGATGGAGTCCTGGTGCCGCCCGCCTCCGCCGTGCCTTGCCTCGCGCCCCGGCGCCGTTCCCAGCACGTCGGGATGCTCGTTCCTCGGGGGGCGCCCAGAGACCCGCAGCCGGTTCCGAGCCAGCGCCCGGCCAGGCCGCCACCCGGGCCGCCCCTCCGACGGCTGGCAGCTGGCGAGGCGCCGTCCCTGCAGGGGAGACCGGGGCCGGGCGCGGGCGGACTCAGGGTCAGGCGCCGCTTGCTCACCGCCACGCCGGACCGGGCTTTCCCAGGCTGGGGGCCCGGAGGAGCCGCCTCCCCTCCCCTTCCCCCCAGGAGGCCACGGGTGTCCCGGACTCCTCGCCGCAGCTTTTGCCAGGGAGGGGAGGAGACCGCCCGGGTTCCCTCGTGCTCGCCCGCCCGCCCGGTGCCGCCCTCAACGGACGGGGAGATGCCCCTTCCGCGGTGGTGGTTTTTGACGGGAAAACGAGATATGGGGCGTTGCGGGGAATGGACCTTTTGGAAGGAGCGGCTCTTTCAGGGCTGGCCCCTCGGACGGAGCTGGCAGAGTGATCCCTGTTCTCCAGCATTCAACCTGCCTTTTTTTCATTTTAAAAAAGGAGAGAAATTCAAATTTTTAAACGCCATCACAATGAATATTTTTTACTTATCTGATAGAAAGAGTGGAATGTCCAAGGTCTTGAATAAATATTTATTGTTGCAAGTCAAAACCATGAAATGAAACTATTTGCTCCAATGCATTACACAAGCTAAGAAAGGCAGGGAGCCAGAATTGGCTTCCGAAATGCAAGAAGGAACCCTCATCTTTGGGGAAACTAATATACTTTAACAACAAAACCCACCATGGTTTTTTTTAAAAATAATTTTATGAAAATGGCACATGAAGATTTTTCTTTTTTTGTCAACCCTCCCCTAGGCCAGAAGGAAGAATCTGGACACCAGGCAGAGTAATGAAGAACAGGTCCCTTCCTCTGCACAAATATCCCAGAAATCGGCAATGCTTGGACCCAGTTGTGCAGTTGGTGTAATCTGGCACCTGATGCTGCTGTCTGAGCAGAGGGCGCTGGCTCAGTGACTTGGGCCAATGTGCCAGCCATCCTGCCCCAGGCCCACTACCCAACTCCCAGCTGGGTGGCATGAGTTACTGAAGAGAGGCCAGTCAGTCTTGAGTTCCAGGGTCAAAGGGCCTGAGGTGAGGCAGAGCAGGGGAAACTCCCCCAGCTGAAACAGGTGGGATGAAGACCATCCTGGGATTAATCAGGAAATACTATACAGAGGTGCCAATCCTGTTTTGGGGCTTGAATAGATTTTTCGAAGGGAGAACTGGAGAAGCTTTGGGGTTTCAGCTGCTGGCATCAGGATGACCCCAGTCCTTTCGGCAGGGTCCTTTCTCTAGAAAATATCCAGTGGGGGGGGGGGGCACAAAGCGGGGATGGCGAACAACCTCTGAGACTTCCAGGGAGGGGGTCACAGGCAGTGCTCAAGGCAGGTGCAGTCCACCTTCTGCACAGAACCGCTGAGCATGGAGACATTGGCCAAGGTGAGCACTGTTCCACGGGGCAGGCCTTCTCCAAGAGCGATGCTGGAGACCTCCCCAGGCAGCAGTGCTCGGCCCCACATGGCGAAGCCTGCCAGGAGCCCCACGAATGATTCAGAGGATTCAAACCCTCCACCAAGCGTGTCTTGCTCCTGGCCGAGGAGGAGTGACCCTTGGGATGGAATCTCGTAGCCCTTCCGAAAGTTGGAGCCCAGGGAGGCCAGCCTTCGGTCCAGGTAGAACCAGTAGCGCCCCTGGAGGGAGGACCAGATGACGCAGACATGGTGCCACCTGCCATCCAAGACGGCTCCCACCGGCAGCTCCCGGAAAGCGGGGTCTCCAATCACGAAATGGATGGAGTTGCGGGGGGCAGCATCCCTGCCATGGAGCACCAGCTTGTTGTCGTTCTCCTCTGTGGCGTAAGACAGGATGGTGCCCAGGTAACGGGCACTGGTCCTAACCCAGCTGCAGAGGCTCAGCTCCAGCAAGCTAGTCTGCAGGCTGGGCTGGAAGGCTGCGAAGTTCTCAGTGGAGGCGTTGGGGAAGACCAGCATGGCGCCCACGTTGCACCCTGCAGGGAAGAAAGAGCAGTGGGGTAGCTGCCAGGAATGACCTGGGGGCTCCTGTGGGCAGACTGCTGCCTCATGCCCGAGCTACGGAGCCTGGAAATAACGGGGTGAGTCTGGGAAGCAGACAGACCAAAAGTGTTGAGGGGATTTCATGCACACAGCTGGTTGCAGCTCTAGCCCACCACAGCTTGGGGCTCCAATTTGGAATTTTACATCCAGGTAGTGATAATTACATTGAAGATTTCTAGTCTAAAGCGTGCAGGTCACTCGGGGCCCAGACAATGTTTAAAACCAGTACAGCAGATAAAATACAAAGAGCAAAGTACAATGCCAAAGCACCTCCAAGTTCAACACAGGCAGAAGTAAGCAGCGGCAGCAGCAGCTTCTAAAATCCACACAAGTGTGTCTCCAGAAGGAAAGCCCAGTCCCACCTACGGAACCCACTTGGCTCCCGCTACAGGGAGCTGAAGGGTGACCTTCGGCCAGATGAGCCTCCAGCACATTTTAAGGCCGAGAAAGGCCACTGCATTGGAGCTTAAGGAGGTTCACAGCATTCATGCATCAGCACATCCTCCCTCTATACCTACTTGTCCCTGGCTTCCGAGGCCCTCCTGGAGGCTTCTCCTCCACAGGGACTTTGGCCGGGCCAGGGGACTGTTCTGCGAGGGTCTGCTGCTCAGGTGAAGAGGCTGGGCCCGGATCCACCTGCAGGGGGGAAGCCGCCTGGCTCAGAAGGGAGCCCCTCTCGGCCAGGGCTTCCAGGCGGCCCCCTGGCTGGCGATGCTTGGCACGCAGCTTCTTCAAGGTGGGGCTCTGCCCTCCCGCCGCCTGCGATGCTTTCTCCGGCCTGAAGCGATGGGCTGCGGTCCAAGGACTGGGCAGTGCCTCCTTCTGCTTAAAGCTGTTCAGCCTCTGCTCAATGCTGCCCAGCTTGCTTCCCTGGCTGCGGAGGGCATCCTGCAGGCTCTGCAGTGTCTTCTGCAGGCTCTGCTGGTGGACAGCCATGTCCCGGAAGTCCTCCCGGTGCCTCTCAAGCTCCTGGGTGAGGTTGGACAGGCGGCTCTCCAGCTGCTGCTCCTCCTGCTTTTGCTGCGTCTCCTGCCAGCCCTCTTCCAGAGCTCGGATCCTCAGTGCTTGCTTCTTGTCGTTCCTCTCCAGCTTCTTCACCCAAGTCTGCAAGCGATGCAGCTCCTCCTGGGTGGAAGCCCGGGACCCGTTGGCCACCAGCTGCAGGCTCTCATGCTTCTGCAGCAATTGGTCCATCTTGGTGTGGAGGTTGTGAGAAAGATTGTAGTTCTCTTCTGTCTCCTGAAGGCGCGTCAGGGTGAACTCCTGAAACTGTCGGAACTGCGAAACAGGAGTCTGGTCAGGCCCCTCAAAGCTGAAGGCAGAGGGGAGGGCCAGGAGAGTAGCATCGGGAAAGGAGTGGGGGCAGGGGTGGATTGAAAAATGTTAGCAACCAGTTCTTTGCCCAGTTGCTGGATGGGCATGGCTATGAGGGCGTGGCCTACTCAGCCCCCTGTACCATGGTGGGAGGGTGTTCTTGCCCTCCCCAGGCTCCGTAGGCTTTTCTCGAGCCACCGGGAGGGTGAAAACAGTCTCCTCCGGGCTCCGGAGGCCCTCCGGAGGCCAGAAACAAACCCATTTCCAGACTTCTGGTACTTCCGGGAGGCCCATTGTTCGCCCTCCCAGAGCTTTCGCGCGACTCTGCACTTACCACACCTCCAAAACAGGCTGCCTGGAGACTCCTGGGAGGGAGAGAGGGGTCAGCCAGTCCTTGCAATTATTGGTTCAGCAAACCAGATGTAAAATTAGCATCTGGTTTGCCCGAACCGGCTGAATCCAACCCCTGGGTGGGGAGAAGGCAAGCGGGACCCTCTCCTTCCCCGTAAAGGCATGGGCATGACGGGTTATGAAGCACCAAGAACCTTCATTTGGTGTCCCTGGCATCCCTGCGACAAACACCCACCAGAGAGAAAGGGGGCAAAACCCCAGGACTGAAGGCACCTTTTCCTGCCTGGCTTTGCAGCTTCACTCTAGGGCACCCCACAGCATTAGAAACATGCACTTCTGAATGCGTCCAGAGGTGGGACTATGGCTTCAAGCGCTGCTCAAGATGCCCTCTGAGAGCTAAGCAAAAGGACCAAGTCAGGGTCCCAAAAATGGAACAAAGTGGTGTGTGTGTGTGTGTGTGTGTGTGCTTCCAATAGATACCAATGGTGTTGAGCTTATATAGAAAGTTTTTATAAAGCATTTAGACATTTCACTGCATAAGGACACTTGCCAGCGGCCAGATCTTTGGACCAAAATACAGCATTATATTTTTCCACCAGCTTCCTTGGAGCTACTGAGTAATCTCAACTATATTTAGGAAGTGATATTTTTACAATAACAAGTACAATTATTTATAGTGCTAACTGAAAATGGTTGACAAGTGTAACTATTAACAATCGATGTGCTTACTTTGCTATTTCGGGTGACAAATATTTCATTGTTTTACAGTTTTGAGATGTCCTGAGATTATTTTCTTGTCTTCTGAAATGGTCAGGCTATTTGTGGCAATCTATATTAATTCCTTCGCTCTGGCTACTCTCCCTCAGCCAGCTCTTCTAAATGTGGAGCCCTAGCTCTCATGGGGAGCGGACACTCTGGCGGTGCTTGATGGGAGTTGCAGTACAAGATTCTGGAGGCCCAGGCTGGCAAGAAAGTCCAAAGCCAGGAAAGACTTTCACAAAATAACTTTATCTTTAAATCCATCCAAAAATGTAGAAATATATTTTGCTGGGCCACTATCTGTGGCTAATCTTAGCCTAAAATGGCCTCTGGCAAAACCTGAAAGGCTTAAATATCACAACACCAGCTGTTGCTACTAACTTTTGCAGCGAAACATGACCTGAGGAGCTGGGTGGGTCCGAGGGAGGGAGCCACCAGGGGGTGTGGGCTTTTGAGTATCCCCAGCCCTCACTGTCTCCCTTGCTGCAGAGGCCAAGGAACCCAAGGATGAGGATTGGCAACCTCCGCCCCCCCCCCCCCCCCCCCCCCACACACATTGTTGTCTGTTGGGACCTGTAAAATCGGGACCTTTTCTGAGCTGCATCCCCTCCTTTATTTTCCCTGAAACGATTCCATCACTTTATTTATTCTTGCATCTCCAGGCTGCCCTTTTTTCCTTCTGGGGACCCCCCCTCTCCTTCTGTATCCAGCTGAATCTGGCTGGAATCCCCCCCCCCCTCCCCCCCCCCAGGATGTTGGGACTCAAGAACAGAAGCAGCCTCCTTAAGGGACCCGATGGGCTTGGATCGCTCATTTGTTGCAGGTTAAACAAAGGAGAGCTTGGATAGCAGAATAAGTACCACATAATAAACTCGCAAAATCAAAGCTGGCAGCCGAGTTCAACAGTGCCGCCTTTTCCTGCTCCCAACATTCTTGCCCGATTTTACTGTCCTTTTGTACAGGTGATCTCCTTGAAAATATCTCCGGGATAAGGTGACCCTCAACTCTCAAAACAGGAGCTTCGCCCGAGAGAGCAGGAACCCCCGGATGAGTCGCTGTCTTGTTTCAGGAGATCAAAGCAAAGCAGAAAGTCTACCTAAAGAGAAGGACAGGGAGAGCGGCCGTACAATCCTCCCCCTGGGGGGGGGGGAAGGGGGTGAGGCTGCCCGGCCCGTCTGCATTTCGGGGGCCAGAAGCGGAATAAACTCGGGGGCTTCCCCGTGGACTCCCATCTGGACAGGAAAGGGGATCCCCTTGCGCGCCGCCCCTGCCCGCTCACGCTCCGACCCCGGACAGAGACGGGAAGGAGGGAGCGGAGCGGCTCACCTGGGCTTCCAGGCGCCGGAGCCGCTCGAAGAAGGGCCGCCTTGGCTCGGACTGCATCAGGGCGCCCCGCAGACAGGCGGTCGCCAGGACCAGGGCTACCGACACGACCCCCGCCGCCGCCCGCATCCCGAAGCCGCTGCGCATCCCAGAGAGACGAGCCTGCGCTGGCTGGCTGGCTGGCAGGAGAGCCTGGCTGTGCCCGGAATAGACCAGAGACCCGCCGGGACCCCGGAGCCCACTTTAGCTCCGCCGCGGGAGGGAGGGAGGGAGGGAGGGGCAGAGGGAGCGCGATCCCAGCCCAGGAAAAGGACGGGAGGCCACGCGGTAGTGCGCCGCGCTGAGGGCTGTTGGGGCCGGGCAGGACAGGTCGAACGAGTCAGCTCGGACGGGGCGGGGACACCCCAATCCGGGAGGCCCCCCAAGAAGATCCCCGGGGCCGCAGGAGGCAGCTGTCCGCAGAGAGACCCTGCCCGGCAAAGCGGCGGAAAAACTCCCCTCCCTGCCGCGGAGCCAGACGCCGCCCCGAAAGACCACCCTGTGTGGAAGCCGCGGCCCTTCTGAGCCTGGACTACCTCGCAGGGCTGTTAGCAGCTCTTCCTCCCCGCCCAGAGCCCCGCTGCCCAGGAATGAGCGGCAGGGGGCGCTGTGGCGGGTCCGTGTTTGGCCGAGCGCTCCCTTTCGCGCAGGCGCATTCCCCATCTAGGCGTGAGACGGCACGGGCAGCACGCATGCGCAGCCGGAAGTGGCTGTCAGAGGGGTTCCGCGCCCCCCCCCCGGTGAGTGAGATGCGCCCCGGGACCCCCGTCGCCCTCCTGGCCGCGCTGAGGGGGTTGGGGGGGGTGGCCGTTCTCGGGATTGTCGACGCCAATTTCCCCGCCCCGTGGTTTCGCGTCGCTGCACCTCTCCTCCCGTCCCCGCTCGCATGCCCAGGTAGACTGCCCCTGCCTCCGGAGGCTCTCTCCCCCCCGCAGCCCGAATTGCCCGGGGCGCCTCCCAGGAGGGTCCTGCGGTGCGGAGGGGAGGTGGAGCAGCTGCCCTGAGGCTGACCGTGGGGGGCGGGGGGGCGGTCTGAGTGGCCGGGCGGAAGGGGCTGCAAGTGTGGGGAGAGGTAGACTGCCTCTGAAGCGGGACGCTCGACTTGCCCGTGACTCAATGTTGTTGCTCTCGTTGCCTGCCGACCCCTCCTGGTTTGTGTGCGTGAAGGTGGGGTGTGTGTGTGTGTGTGTAACAATCTCCAGCATGAACAAAACTGAATTTTCTCCCTGCCTCGACCACAAACAAGGGCCGCCCTTGATGCCTTCCGTCCCCAAATGCTGCAGAACCGGCCCCCCCGAATATTCCCTCCCGTTCCAGGCGGGCCTGGGAGGGTGAGAAGGGAGCTCCGCTTTAATTCCACTTTGTAGGAAAAGGAGCCAAAGGCAGCTTCTCCTCGAGGTCCGATTCTCTGCTCTCAACAGATTTGCTGAGGATAAATGGTCGATTGCAGATAGAGAGGAGCTACTTTCCGAGACTGATTTGCGCTGCTGAAGTAGCCACAAAGGTGCCAGGTGTGTTCTTCACCACAGGTGAGGTATAGGATGTTTGCACTGCAGTAAGAAAAAAGCCATGTGTTTATTGATTGTCAGAATTGGGGTTTTATTCAGTGGTGAAATGTAAAATTTGTTACTACAGGTTCTGTAGGCGTGGCTTGGTGGGGGGGGTTAATATGACTTGAGTGGGCATGGCCAACTTTTTTTTTTTTCTTAACTTTTAAAACAATTTTTTCTACAACCTCTTTGGCTAAAGAAAAAATGTTTTTAAAAGCCTCTGATGATTCCAGCTGAGCCGCGCGATCATCAGAGGCTTACTTTTTAACTTTTAAAAGCATTTTTTCGGCCAAACAGGTTGTAGAAAAAAATGCTTTTAAAAATAAAAAAACCTCTAATGATTGCACGGCTCAGCTGGCCAAAGGGGGAGGGGTGGTGGTAGGGATTTTTGCTACCGGTTCTCGGAACCACCTGCCTCCATCGCTACCGGATCGGGCGATCTGAACTGGGAGCATTTCACCCCTGGTTTTATTACAAAGCAATCCCACCTTTCCTTTACATGCTCAGGGTCTCAGCAATATCCCCCCTTTGGCTTTTTGTCCTATTGCTTTAAATCAAGACACAGTTCCACAAGGATGTTGGTCATGCATTATAATGCTTATGCTGCGTAGTTAGTATTTTTCCATTTCTACCCAGAAGGAAGGCAAAACTGGTAATAGTCAACATGTAAACTGAATCTAAATTGCCCCAAATGATAGTGCTGATTAACTTAATAAATGATATCTAGAAAGCATTTCAGGAGCTGCTAAGATCTCCAGGAGACACACAATTCCTGTCTCTGGATAGGAACTAAAGGGGCCTCTTTTGCCCTCTTCCAGTTGCCCTCAGGGCTGGAGAATGTGAGGCCGCCTCTGTCAGCCACCGCAAAGGACATGGAGGAGAGCCTTCCTTCATCAGCGGAGAGGCTGGACGCACCAGGGATCAGCCGGCGGATCTCGGTCAGCGAGTTCTCTTGTCACTGCTGCTACGACATTCTCATCAACCCCACCACCTTGAACTGCGGGCACAGTTTCTGTCGGCACTGCCTGGCATTATGGTGGATGTCTTCCAAGAAGAACGAGTGTCCAGAGTGCCGGGAGAAATGGGAAGGGTTCCCAAAGGTCAACATCCTCCTCAGGTGACCGTTGCCCTGCCAGCTTCACCCTTCCCGGTTGCCGGGCCAAGACCCAAGCGGTGGTCGCAAGGCATCCAGAAGCCGGTGCATGGGGGGAGGCATGGAGGCTTGAAGATGGGGCTTGTTTCTCTGCTCTGGCCAGGAGCCTCAGTGCCTCCCCAACTGCACCTTTGGGCACATCAGGAGGGAGGGACTGAACAGCGTCCTTTGGCCTAGTTGCCTCTGCTCCTTTTAGCAAGGTGCGGCCCTGGTAGGAAGCCAACCTGACGTCGCATTACTCCCTCTGAGGGCAGACTGGTCTTCCTTCCCCAACCCTCTGCAAGGAGGGGAGAGACAAACAAGGATTGCTGGGAGGACCAGCAAGTGATTCCTGTTGGAGGATTTGGGTGGGCCTGACTCAGGGGATGCCCTGGACGTGTCTCTCGCTGCAAGTTAGAAAAGGCTGTTCCAGAAATTGACAAGCTGGCTCATCTTAACGGGGCACACGGCCACCTGTCACCTCAAGCAGTTTTTCCCTTTCCAGGAATGCCGTTGAAAAGCTGTTCCCAACTGCCATTGAGCAGCGCAAAGACGACATCCTGCAAAACCACGAGGCAACGCAAAGTCTAGCTGCTTTTCAGAAGTATGGGAGCGACCAGCCCACGGTGGCCCCCAGTGTTGGGAGGGTGAACCCACCTGGAGGAGGCTTCTTCTCCGGTGTCCTGACTGCATTGACCTGCGTGGCGGTACGGCTCCCTGAGAACATTTTTCACAAGCACTGCCACCACACCACGGGGAGGGGAGGAGGCTTTGTTTGAGCAGTGGAGCTGAGCAGGATCTGCGAGGGAGGCTGAGCTTCCGGCTGAGCTTTCTTACTGCCTGAATGGGAACAAGGGAGGGGGCTTGGCTGCCTGCCCAATTTCTAAGAGCTGGGCCAACCCTGTGCTGCCACTCTTTTTGGCGCTCGGGGAGTGAAGCTGAAGGGAGGGAGTTGTGGCTGGCTGGCTGGCCTCTCGTGCCACCTTATCCCAGAGAACTGGCCACGTGTGGCTTATTGAAAACAATGTGGCTTGCACCAGGCACGGATGGCTTGTCTAGACTAGCCTTTGAACATGATGCCTATTGTGGTTGTTCTAAGCACTCCCCAGCCTAGCCTCAGATGTTCTCGATTGGTCTCTTAGGTGGTTTTGCTGGGCTATCACTGGAGCAGCCGGGAGTCAGAGGACAGCCTGCTGGTCCACAAGCCTGTGGCCAAATGGACTGCAGAGGAGGTGGCCCACTGGCTTGGGCAGCTGGGGCCCTGGACATCCCTCTACAGGGAGAAGTTCCTGCAGGAGAGGGTGAATGGAAGGTGAATCCAAATGTTTGGGTGGAGAGAGGGTGGGAGGATTTGAACACAAACCCTTGCCTGTCATTCCCTGAGCATATGCAAATGGGGACAAATGTTCATGGCCTGCTTGGGAGTCAGAGGGGACTGACTGCTGCCTCCTCCTTTTAGAGCAGGCAGTTTCGCTTTGCTTTGGGGGAAAATGTGGCCTCTTAAGACAGTTTCCTGATGGAGACTTTTGGGCTTTGCAGTGCTGGAGCCAGGTAGCGGGTGCCCTGGCCTGAATGGTTTCTCTTGCAGGCTGCTTCTGACGCTGACTGATGAAGAACTCAGACAGGCTCCTTACCAGGTGGAGAACAGCAGCCACAGAAAAGCCATTGCGATGGAACTCGAGCGGGTGAAGATGCTGGGGGTGAAGCCACCCCAAAACCTCTGGGAGTACAAAGTGAGTGTGTGCTGCAGGGCCACAGGAGCTGCTGGTCTTTTCTCTCTGCCGCTGATCCAGAGGACCAAGACCAAAGGCCAGCAGCCCCGGCCTCTTCACCTTCCTCAGACGGGGGTCTTTCCTCACATCTTACACCAGGGTCTAACAAGCAGCATCGTGCCTGGGAGAGGCCGGCAGGTGGCAGAGCAAAGCCCTTCCTCCACAAAGGTCCCTTGCCTTGCAGGCAGTGCAGCCCGGGAGGTCACTGTTCCTGCTCTACGCCTTGAAGAGCTCCCCTCGGCTCACCATGCTGTACTTGTACCTGTCGGATTACAGCGACACCTTCCTGCCCTTCATCCACACCGTCTGCCCCGTGTCGGAGGCCCAGGAATTTGAAGATGTGATTGCAAAACTGCACGTAAGTCTGGAGTCCCAGGCACTTCAGCCTTAGAAGTGGGCGGCCCTCGTGCCCTGGCAAGGGGTCTCTGCGCTTCCAGCTGTTGCTCCGGCACTGCTGACGCCCTCCCAAGAGGGTAGCAAGGCAGCTGGTGGTAGTCTTCTGTCTCTGCAGGACCACAAGGACCCGGTGTGGAAACAGTGGCGGGAATTCCTGGTGAAGTTTGCTTTCCTGCCCTATCAGCTGCTGGCTGAGTTCGCTTGGGACTGGCTGGAGACCCATTACTGGACCTCCCGCTTCATCATCGTGAACGCCATGCTGCTTTCCGTGCTGGAGCTGTTCTCCTTCTGGCGGCTCTGGTCGAGACGGGAGCTGAAGTGAGTCCCTTGTCCCCCTCCTGGCCGAGGGGGGAGGCCTGTGAAGGACCCAGGATATCGTTTGGGAGAATCTCAAGGCTGCCAAACCCAGATATTCACCCTGTTCTCTCTCTTCCTCTCCTCCTTTTTCAGGAGAATTCCCTACCGGATGTGGAGCCATTTCTGGAAAATGTCAACCCAGGGATTCCTGATGGCCATTTTCTGGCCAGTTATTCCCCAGTTCGCCTGCAATTGCCTCTTTTACTGGGCTTTGTACTTCAACCCAATCATTAACATAGACCTTGTAGTGAAGGAAGTCCGTCGCCTGGAAACCCAAGTCCTGTGAGGCAGAGGGCCCCGGACACCCCACCCCACCTGTGCTCCCGGTCTGGATGCTGAGAGGGCCAGCCCTGTCTTTCTGCACTTCCAAATTCAGCCGATCTTCCTCCATGGATAGCTGAACAGGCTAGTTTTGCAGCTCCTTGCGTCCCCCACTCTCTTTTCAGGCGCAAGAGGCACTTTTTCCTTGGAACAAAGAAGATGTAATATTTGCCTAATCCAAAATCTCGCTTTGAACCGACTAAAGCCGAGGTTGCTGCAAACTCTTTGGAAAAGGAGCCCTTGCGTGTAAGTAGGTGAATTGGTTTCTCTGTGTCTAAATTTCCTCTGTGTTGCTCTGTGTTAAATCTCTGGTGAATCTTTATGTTAAATGTGATGTCCCTATAAATGACATTTGACCCTGCATTTGTATCAATACGATCTTTAAATTTGCATAGAACATTTTTACAAATTAAATAATGTTTTCTAAAAGGAGTGATAGTTGTTTTTTCACCTAGCATTCCCTCCTTCCCTTTCTTGTTTAGATTTTGAGGTAGGCTGGGCTGCACCATGGCAGGTGTCATGGCTGCCTGGTGTCCATCAATGGCTGTGATGACGGGAGTTGAACTTAACTTTGTGATGTTCATTAAATCAGTTCTCTTCTATGCCCTCCCTTGCCACCCTGCATGCTCTTGCTTTCTGTATAGTAATGGAATGTGGGAATGATCAGGGGAGGGACGAGTGGGTCAGAAGAGCCCCCCCACCCCTCACCCCGAGTTTTGTGGACTGTAAAGGAGACGGGGAGAGATTTGGACTGTCGGATTTGCAAGATTCTGTTAATGCAGCTTTACAATAAAGTAGAAATAGCCCACCTGGTTGTGTTTCCACTCGAATCTACTTGCATGGCTGACACCAATCTTACAAGTCCTCCAAGTTCTCTCCCATCTCCTCCCACTTTCCCTCTAAGGGCTAGGTTGCCTTTTTTCTGACCATCCCTGGCTGCCCAGCCTCATTCCCACATGCCATCACTCATTAGTGCAAAACTCTGCATCCCAAAGTGAGTTGGGTGACATCCTGGAAATGAGACCCCAGAACTGCCCGCAGACTCTTCTGGTGCTGAGTCCCTGCAGCAAGGTGAGGCCAGGCCATTCGAGAGGAAGTAGTAGCTCAGGTCCTGAATCGGAAGGCGGACAGCCAGGGAAGCCGTGCGAGGGCAGCGTCAGTCGTCTGGGCACCTGGGGCTCTTCTCTTCACACCGGGTGTCTGGCCAGAACAAATACATCACATTGTAGGGGGCTTTTGCCAGGCACTTGGCTGCGTTGCGGTCACACTCACAAGCCATCTTTTGGCACTTGTCTTCAATGTCATCTGCAAAAGGAAAAGAGACCAACAAGCAGTGAAGCCAACTTTGGGAGTCGCCACCTGAAGCTTTCCAAGTAGGTTGGCTGTGGGGCCTGGAAGGGGGGGGGGAGGGATCTGGCCTGTCTTCCTGCCGAGACACCCCGAGGCCTCTTTTCTCTGGGGGAACTCACCACACTTGGCTTTGCTGTCCTTGCACTCCCAGGGGTACCTCCGCGTCTTGGGGGCGCAGTTCTCCTCCTCAGCTTTTCCGTAGCAACAGTCGTGCTTAAAGCAGCACCTGGCAGAATCAGAGGAATCCCACTGAGCCGAGGTGAGCCCGCTCACCCGCCCCCTCCCCTCTCAGCCTGCTAACCAGGAGGGGAGGCTGGGTTTACTGCAATAGGTAACGGTGCTTACTCAGGTAGATGGGTCATTTTTATATCTTTAATGTAGATAGGTTGTGTGTGGCAAAGACAACTTTTGAAGAATTAATTACTGCTCTTCTGGACAGTTGGAGCTCCAGGCCTCCTTCCTCGTGTCACGTCCTCTCACCTGAAATGGCTTCTGTGCAGAAAGCGCAGGCGGGGCTCTTTCCCCAATTCCCCAGTGCTGCCACTTTCAACTTCACTTTAGTCACCCCAAATAATCCTGAATAATTTATAGCTGAGCTGGATTTGGAGGCATCCCGTTCAAGGGCGAATCCCAGATGCCCACTAAGGCAGCCAGTCAGGGGGAGTGCCCAGAGGCCGTCCGAGCCCACCAGGTCTACATGAGGTGATGATGCTGCGGCACCTTAATTTGAAGCGAAGCCGGTGCCAGCTTGACTGTAGCCATGCCGTTAAAAATGAAGATGGGCAGCTGGCCCACATCAGCCAGGATGTGGGGCAAAACACCAACCAAAGAAAACACATTTCCTGGCCAAAATGGATCCGTCACTCCTGGCTGCGCTTGACCTTCGCGACTGAAGCACAGGTCTCATGCTGCCAAACTAGTGGAAGCCGCAGAATGTGCATCTCCAACTGCTTAAAATACAGTACAGCTAAATATTGTCCTTTGGGGAAGCTTCTATTTTGAGTTTAGTTTATAGCGATGGCAGGATGTGGTGTGAGGAGGGTGGCATGGCATCTCCGGAGCCTCTCAGTGCCTTCCACGTTGGCACTTTCAGATGCAGGCGTGAGCTCAGCCGCTTCCCAGAATCCCTCCATCTGTGCACACTCTTATTGTGCAGATCTTCCATACCTTACAAGCAGGTTTCGCTTTTTAACTTGGCTCCCCAAGGAGGAGCGCCCAGTTCCTCTGCCCCAGGGTTCCAAGCCTGAGAAGCAGAGCCCTCGCCAGCCACGGGGCAAGAAGCCGATGGGGGCACTTACCAGTCGACCTGGTCCTTGGGCCAGCCATGGCCTCCCCAGCCACAGTAACATCCGTAACGAATGTAGGCTAGGGGAGTTCGGCCCGTGGTGCACTGGATCATCCCGGCCAGCTGGAGGATTCCTCTGCGGGGCCGGGATGGGGCCTTGCCCAAAGGGTGTCCTGTAATGGGGGAGGAAGGAAAGCGCGGCATCAGGAGGGCAGCTCTGGTGGCAAGCTGACTCTGCTCCTAGTTATGTGTGTGTGTGGGGGGGGATTCCAATAAAGCTGTCTAGCGGCCCCCAGCAACACACTTGGAGGGGGAGGGAAGATATTTATACACAAGGGGAGCCTCTCATTAATGGAGGTGCCCCAAAATAGGACCCACCCAAAGATCTGAGCCCCCCCCCAAGAAGCCTAACCTCCAGCAGCAGGGGTCCCAGGAGACTCCCAGGGCTGTTTTCAAGGTGGGCTGCCAGGGTTCAAGCAGGAGCATGGGAATGCGCCCCCCCTCCCACACACACACAGCTTCCTGGGGTATTAACACGAGCCCTCTGCCACCAGCCTTCTCGCTGGGCATTTGGAAGTTGTAACTGCCTCTTCTGATTTCCCTCTTTGCTTTAGGGCATCAGGTAAAACAGCATAAAAAGAGGAGCTGCCTCCTTGGCGAGTGGGGGGGGGGGCGGTCAGGGTCGCTGGCAAAAAAGATTTGTCAATGTAGCTTTACAATAGAGTAGAAATGGATCGTCTGGTCCTGTTTCCTGGTTGGTCGACCTCACAAGGCTGACACCACTCTTGCAAATCCACAGGAACCACAATACCTCAAATGACACCCACCCATCACAGGGGGCGGCGTGCAAGGCAATCCCCCCAAAGCAGCAGGGTCTCTTTCTCTGGCAGCTCCCCTCTTATGCTGCGCCTGCCCCCAATTATGTGGAGGGTGAGATCTCTCTGCTGCTCCCGGTTTCTCCCACTCCGCATCCAGCTGAATCAGTGCAGGGAGAGGCAACGCAGCGTCCCCCAGATCTTCTCCATCCTGAACCAGAAACCGGGAGACACGGGTTCTAATCTAGACACCGGCAGAGGTCCAGCTGGATGACTTTGGGCCAGTCCCTCCCTCTGGGCGCTAGGAAGGAGGCCATGGCAAACCATTTCCAAACAACCTGGCCAAGGAAGCTGCAGGGACCAATTCAGGCACTGGCCAGGAGTCAAGGCTAACTTGGAGGCCACCAACCCTCCCCTTAACCTGGTTACCGAACTAACCCACACCCTGGATTCAGCTGACGAATGGGTTCACACAAGGCTAAGATCCCTCACTAGGGCCGCCGGGAGTGAGGAGGGGAACCCCGCGGGGAAAGCGGTCTCGCCGCCAACTCACCGGTCCGCGCCGCCAGCAGCAGCAGCAGCGCCAGCAGGAGCGGCGGGGCCATCGGCTGCAAGCCGGGGAGACGTCCGTCCCGTCCAGGCGCCGCCTCAGGAGCCTCTGCTTCTCACCCTCCAGCCCGGCGCTGAGCTTCTGCCGCCACCGCCGCCGCCTCTCGCCGGTCTCCATCCCGTTCTCCGCCCACGCGCCGGCCGCGCCCGCCCCGCACGCGCCACAGCTCCGGGCCCTCCGGGGCTCCCCCGACCTCGCCCAGGGATCGTTGGCGGCCGCCCCCCCCGCCCCCGCTGCCTCTTCCTGGCCGGCGCCGCCGTGCGCGCGCGAGGGGTGAGCAGCGGGCCGTCTGCGGGGATGCCGGAGCCCCCAGCCCCACCTGAAGGTCGCCGCCAACGCTCCTCTCTCCCCTCGGCAGGGCTGCGCTTCCCGAGCGCCAAGGTCGCCTGCCCTGGCTTGGAGAAGCCTCTCTTGGGGCTCAGCAACTGTTCGGAGGGAGGCGGGATTTGGCTCCCTTGGACTGACCTCCCCCCACCCCCCAGGCTAAAAATGAAAGAGTTGAAGGACAGCAATCCCAGGGACCATGCTGCACACCAGCTGGGCCTTTTGGGCAGCCAGAGAGCAGTGAATGGCCAGCCCTAACCCTAAGCCAGGCCCCATTTCCAGTTGGATGGGCTTGTTCTAGATAAAACCGGTGGGGAGCAGGGGGGGGGGGGCTGCTCCTGGCAAAAGCTCTGCTGGTCATTCTTGTCATTCACCGCCTTCTGGCTTTTAAAGGTGTCTGTGGCTGAAGACTCCCAGCAGCACAAGCAGTCTGAGGCTGGCCGGCTGCTCTTCCTGCTTTCTCTGGGTAAAAGGAAGTTGTGCTTGTTTGCAAATCATTTGCTGTGAAATGAATTCCTCGCTCCCTGCACCTGGTCTCCCCAAACGTCACCTGCACAGCCCGTTGGTGGGACAGGCTGACCTTCCTGCTGGCAGGGCCTGTAAACTCAACCTCTCTTCAGAAAGGGTTAGGGCAGGGGTGAAATCCAGCAGGTTCTGTCAGGTTCTGGAGAACCTGTAGCGGAAATGTTGAGCAGTTCGGAGAACCGGCAAATACCACCTCTGGCTGGCCCCCGAGTGGGGTGGGAATGGAGATTTTGCAATATCCTTCCCTTGCCACGCCCACCAAGCCATGCCCACAGAACCAGTAGGGGAAAATGTTGGATTTCACCCCTGGGTTAGGGTTAGGAAAGAGACAGGATCTCCTGCTCCCTTGCAGGAGGCCTGCTTGGAGTTCTCCCTCGCCCTTTTAACTTGCTATTTAACCTGATGGTGGATGACAGGCTTCTTTGCAGACCAATGAGAAATTACCAATGACAGCCCCTTTCATGGGGGGGGGCACTCTGTCCACCTCCCTCCCCCCTTGCAATGGAAGTCAGGTTCCAGGCACACAATCAAGACTCCTCTAGGAGACAGCCTGAGCACCAACAGGCACACTGAAACTTTCTCAATATTTTTTTTCTCCTACAAATAAATCAATTCTTCTGTATTTCCCAGAGGCGGCACCATGAACAGCCAGCTAATTACAGTTTTGGGCAGGAGACTTGCATTGTACTGTACTTTCTGGAAACATACCATCCATCTTGCATAAGTTGCCAGTGCAGCATCTCCTGCCTGCACGCGAACTGGCTCTAAAGTAGAGCCAGTAAACAGAATCTGTTTTACAATATTTGTCCAGTTGGCAACACAACAAGGCGCTTCAGCAGCAGGAGTCAGTAAATCAGCAGGTTCTGTTTTCTGCATTCCAGACACTAATAATTGTGTTCTCGCAGCTGCACGAACCGGCATGAATGCAAACAGCCCTCCTGGCAGCTCTGGCTGAATGTGTCTGTTGCAGTTGTTTGTGGTGTGTGTGTGTGTGTGTGTGTGTGTGTGTGTGTGTGTGTATTATCTCTATTGCTATGCAGAGGCCCAAAAGACGTCATGGTCCCAGGACCGCTCCCATTAATCTGACCCTGAGGTGATATTCCTCATAGCTGTTTGCCGAGATGTTGCCATCCGGGATTCAAGGACCTTGCAAAAATTTGGAGTATCTGAACAGCACAGTGAAAGCTTAGAGATGCATCACCCTGCTGGCTCCCACTCCCGCTGCAATCCAGTAAAACCCCTTCCCACATGTGCCCCAGCCGAAACAGGATGTGCGGTGGCTTCTTTCAGTGTGTGCCCTCTGGGTCTCACCGACACACCCAGTGATGCTGTAATCCCCTCCAAATCATGTGCAAAGTGGACTGATTTTAATTTATTTATTTTAGAGTCACATGGCTGGCCATCTTAAAAACAGAACTCTGCACAGCTCACAACAACAATAAAAACCCTAAACAATCGTAAAACACAACACAACCTGGCGCCTCCTTCATCTCCCAGGGATGCCCTCCAGCGTCTGGCAAAAAGCCCATCTTGGTGGCCCCCTGGAAGGCCGGCTGAGGGAGGAGGGAGAGGGGGAGCTGCCATTGCCTCAGGTGCCACTGATGAGCAGGAAGCTGTGCACTTCTCAACACAGACTTTCCAGTTTAATGATTACAAAAACTGGTGCAAGTTTCATTCTAACAGTCACATGCATAAATGCAATTAACAAATCATTTAGACCGGATACATTTTGCAATTATATATTTGGTTATCATTAATATATTAGTCATCATTTCCAAATTGATTTTGGGTGTCTCATATAAATATAATCACTGAATTAATAACTCAGTTGGTTTACCAAGAAGACAACCTATAATTTCCTACATCATTTGAACTTTTGCCATTTAGCCCAGAAGATATTAAGTAAAAGGCTAATCCTACTCCGACTACTTTGTGTACCAACCCTTCCGATACTGCATGCAAAAGATTGTTTCTCATGTTGATCTCCTTCCCTGTGGAAACCCAGTTTGCTGTAAAGGATTCTAGCATTTGTCAAATTCCCACAAGGCACAATCAGAGAACTGCAACGCTCCCCAGAAGGTGCTCGCATTAGTCATGTGGCAACGGGTCTTTCAGGAAGCCTCCAGGTTGCCCTCTATGTTTCGATGGGTAACTGCAAGATGGCGCATTGAAACCCCAAATTGGCAGCTTGTGCACACTGAAGTGTTAGCCATAGAGGTGGATGTTGGAGCAGGGAGATCTTCAGGGTTATTTATTGCTGTTGTGGCCTTCCTCCACTTAAATAAGAGATATATTCTAAAAATCAAAATATTGAAAAATAATACACACGTAACCTATCAGGATTCAGAATAGATGACTACAATCTAGGTATGATCTTAAGGTGACCCAGATCAACTGAGTCAAGGCTCCTCCCTTTTGGCTTCCATCTTCGGGGACCAAGGGGTTGCTCTGCAAGCCCTCTCAGAGGGAAAGAGCCTGGGGGGAGCTCCCAACAGCCCCGCAGCCATGGAAAGCATCTCCAGCATAGTCAACACATTTGGGAGCCTTTTGATAAGGGTTAGGCCAAGTGCCCAAACTGGCCGCTGACTGGGCTTGCAGGACACCCTCTGGCTTCACTCACCTTGCACAACACGGCTGCTTTTCAGACCCTTTGCTGGCTTTGCTGGCCGCCTCCCTCCGAGTCTCCAAGTGGAAGCTGAATGTGGCCTTTCAGAAAAAAGAGATTTGGGGCTGGGTGAAGAAAAACCAGCCAATCAGAGAAGTCTCCCCTCCTTTCTGAACCAGAGGAGCATCAGCGACATGCAAACATCGCAGCCCCACCCCCCACCCCCCAGCAGGGAAATGACACTGGTTCCTTGGCTTCCCCTTGTTTGGCCCAGCAGATGAGACACGTTGGAGAACAGGTGAGCTGCCCCATCCCTCCTCTGCCTCCCTGGTTTTTGGAAGGCAACAAATATCAAATTACTGAAATAATTCAGCAACTGAAATAAGGCCCCTAGGTGGGAGCCTTCTCTGTGGGGGCACCTACAAGCTGGAACGAGCTCCCCCCGGAATACGGAGGATCCCGGATCTGTGCACCTTCCGTCGCGCGCTTAAGACATTTTTATTTCATCAAACTGGCCTGGCCTAAATCTTCTCCCCTTTTTAAATGTAAATTTTAATTTGTTTTTAAATTATGGGGTATTTTAAATTCAGCCAAATTATTTAATTCGTTTTTAATTTATTTTAAATTTTTGTATTTATGTGTTTTATTTTGTGGCTGTTCATCGCCCTGAGTCCTTCGGGAGAAGGGCGGTATAGAAATTTAATAAAATAAATTAAATAAATAAATAATTGCAAGAGTGATGAGCAGTTTCTGGATTCACCCCCGTTCAGAAAATAAGGGGATGCAGCCAGCATCCTGGCAGGTCCCTGCCTCCTGATGGTCACTAATTCCCAGGCATGTGGACCTGCAACGGGCTGCTTTGATGCTTTCAGTGGCAGCGAGACCTTTGTCCTTTGCCCTTTGTGAACTGGGTAAAGAAAATGGCTCTTCAGAGATTGAGACCCCCCCCTGGGAAAAGCAGCACCAGCAGGACAGTTCGGAAAGAGGAGGGTCACTACCTTAAGCTTCACTGCAAGGAGGAAGCAGCCGGTCCTTCCCAGAAACGCCCCTGGGCTCCCTCGCCTTCCGCAATGACAGGATTAGCACAGTGGGTTCAGGAAGAGCAGCAGTACCCCAGTGGGCGTCACCTTGGCGCTGATGGTGTCATTGAAGGCGTAAACGCCCATGGACAGCTTGCCCAGCACATCGTAGAGCCTGTAGCCTGCTCTGCAGTCCGAGATTCCCAGGCGGCCGGGAGTTGTGGCAAATGACCGTGGGGCCCCATCAGTTCTGTTGTTCAGGACTGCGACCGCATACTGGCCATTGACCAGGGGCCTCTTCCAGACTTCAAAGTTCTGCTTCTGTTCGAGAGACAAGTGAGGGGCACAGCGGTGACCCGCCTTGCTCAGGCCACAGAAATGCTTTTTCACCCCGACTTGCTCAAAGATTCCCAAGCCGGCAATGGCTCCTGCACCCGGAGAAAGGCTGCCACCCAGTGGCAGAAGTGCCAGGGCAAGGGAACCGTTTCCCCAGGCACAAGACAGCCCTGCTCTGGTGAAGAGATTCTCCCACACACACCCTGACAAGGAGTCTGCCTTGAACTCCCCTCAGGTCCTGGTTAATGTAAATCAGGAGCGGGTTCTGCAGCATGTCCTTGGCCTCCTCCGAGATGTTCCTCAGGTTGCAGGAGATGAAGAAAGGGGCTGCCAGGATCGCCCACAGCGCCGCCTGCACCTTCGACTGCTCATGGCTCAGGCCAAAGTCGCTGACGATCAGCTGGAAGGAGACAGGATTCCAGGCGGCCTGACCCAACCCATCGGGAAGAGGAATCAAAGGAAGCCCACTTTGGGGTTCTGCAGACCCAGAAAGTGGAGCTGCTTCAGAAGCGCAGAGTTAGGCACTGAAAGCAGGATTTCTAGTTGTGCATTTTCCAGCCCACCTCTGTGCCTTTTCCCCTCACCTCTCCTGCCAACTGACCTTCAGGGTCCCCGTGGAGTGGCCATCAGACCTCGAACTCTTCCCTGGGCTCAGGGCCTGGGCAGGAGGTAAGGAAGAGAGTCTCACCATGTCGGGGTCATTCCACCTTCCGGGCCCCGAGGCTGGCTGCAGGATATCCTGGTTGTCTCCGTACCACTCAATGATGTGGAAGAGGCTGTCCCAAGTATCTTCAATATCGGCGTAATTCCTCCAGAAGTTACAAATCTGGCCCAGTAAGGTGTAATTCACCTTAATTAAAAGAAGCAGATTTAGGCTTCTGAAAGGAAAGACAGGTCTACCGTGTATTGAGCAGAAGCAATTATGACCACTGCTATCTTCAAAGCTGCTTAGTAGACCAAAGGAAAACCGAAAGAATTGCCACAACTAACGGGGTGGGATCGATGACTGGAATGCAGATTTGATTTTGCCACTTTATGCTCTCAGAAAGTGTGGGGGGAGGTGACTTCAAACAGCCACCAGAAAGAGACCTATCCAAAACCTGGGAGAGGTACTGGCTTCTACTCCCCCACCTCCGCTGCCATCCTTGCCATCCTTAACTGCATCCTAGGCTCACAAGGCAGCCTTAAAAGAAACCATGCCCATAAAGGGGCCCTTCGCTGGAAAAGGCGGGAGTCGGGGTCTGGGATTACCTTTGGAGGAAGACCCCCTTCGTAAGCTGGCCAACTGCAAGAAAAGGCTATGGGCCGCCCAGTTTGGTTCAGCGCTCTGCTCATTTTGGGGTAGCCTGAAAAACACCCAGAGAGGGTGGCAAGGAGAGACTTTGTCAGCTGCCCAGACAGAGGCTGCCTCAGTTACTTCAGCCCCCAGAAGCCATCAGCCTCCACTGCTTGCATGGGAGGGGGCTGTCTTGGAAGCGACAAGCTGGCACATCCCTGCCTTTGGCATGAATGAAGGCAAAGGACTTTGAGAACCCCAACTCAACTGGCCCTCCCTCAAAAGATGAAGCCTGGCTTTCATGGGAAGCAAAGCCACCTTGTCTCTGGTGCCTGAAGGGGAAACCCTGCCCCCAATGTCCCCAGCAAATTGTGATGTTGCCATAATGAGCAGCAACAGCCTCATGCAAACTCTGCACCTTTGTGGCTGGCGAAGGCAGGCATGAAGTGTTGGCAGCACCTAGAATGATCTGGTTTGCTCTTTCCTACCTGCCCCACAGCCCCGCCTCTATGTCCTGTGTGCTCCCCCAGCCACTCTTCCCCCCCCCGCCCACCTATGGCCTTGAGGGAGGAGTCGGAGAAGCAGCCGTCCAGCTTTAGCATGTCGACTCCCCACTCTGCAAAGGTGTTTGCATCTGTCTCCACAGTATCCAGGGTTGTGCCCGGATAACCTGCACAGGTGGCGTTGCCCAAGTCGCTGTAGATGCCGAATTTCAAGCCTTTGGAATGAACCTGGAGGAGGGGGAGGAGGAAAGAGGGGCTGAGGATGCCCAGTGCAGTCATCCGGGATGAGGGTCTGAGGGGCCCAACTGGCAGCCAGAGCTGAGCCAGGTCGCTGCATTGCGAGACCCTCCCTGGGTGAGAGTGAACCCTGGATCTTAAGACCTGGCTCACGTTCCCTTTTCAAATGGGTGTAACACAGCATGCCCACCTCCTGTGTTGGGTTAAAGAGGTGGAGCTTTTCTATTTATGGGCAGCCTTCTTAGATCACTAATGAATGATAAAACAGGCACAGATGCTTCATGTTACATACGTGTGGCTTAAAGTTACAGGTCAACATAGCTAACCCGCCTGAAGGCGCTTGGCCCTCGACCACTTCAGGGCAGGCCCTCCCCGCACTCACATAGTCAGCGAGGGCCTTCATCCCGCTGGGGAACCTCTGGGGGTCTGCCTGGAGCCTCCCGCGGGCATCCCGCTTGCCAGCCGCCCAGCAGTCATCCAGGGTGACGTACTCGTAGCCCAGCTCCTTCCACCCGTCCACAGCCAGCCGGTCTGCCATGGCCTTGATCAGGTGCTCACTGTGGGCAAAGGAAAGGCGGCCTTGGTCTTCCGGGGAGCTGCCTCTATTCCCCTCCCTGGCAAAACCATCCAAGCCCCCAAAGGGCCCACGATCTCCGGCCCAGCGTCAGCAGCCTGCGGGTTGCGAGGGGAGTCTGGGCTGCCCCTCGCCTTCCCACACCTGATGCAGTTCTCGGGGTCCTTCCCGCAGTCCGTGTTGCACTTGAAGCGCAGCCAGGGCTCCCAGCCCATCGGGGGCGTCCTCAGCAGCCCGTTGTCCAGCGGGGAGGCGCCGGGGGCCACGCCCAGCAGGACCGCCAGCGACAAGGGCAGCAGCGCCACGGTAAGCCGCTCCAAGGCGCGGCGCCCGGGCATTTCCCAGCTCGGTTTATGGGCTTTGGCAGCGACACGCGTCTTCCCCTGGGGGTCGTCAGAACAGGCGCCGAACCTCCGGCCGCCTTTCGCGCCGGTCTCGCCCGCGGGAGCAGAATCTGGCGCCCAGCTGGCGGGCTTCCCCCGAAGGCGCATTGCGTCACAGGGAGCCCCTCTGTGACGTCGCGACTTCGAACCACGCCTCCCCTTAGCACCGCCCACGGGGGGGGGCTACCGGTCGCTTCGCGGAAAGCCGCGCGCAGGCGCACATCTCCACTTCCTCGTGGAGGGGCAAGATTGTGGGCTGGGCAGGTGTTCAGGAGCCCCCCACCCCCACCCCACAGGGCGTTCCACGCCTCCCTCTCTTGTTAGCGTCCGGATTGCAAAGGGCTCTGCCTATAAGGTGTGGGGGGCAATTTCGGCCCCCTCTTTAGCCGCCCTCCTTGCTGAGTTGAGGGACACCCGGTTGCCTTTTAAAGGGGCTCGGAGAGCGCGGGACTCTAGGATCGAAACGATTGATGGCCACCCATGCAAAGTAACCAATGGCCAGGGAGCAGCTTTACGTCCCGGCCAATGGGAACGCGCGGGAGAGCAATCTCGGGCCGGCCCTTTGCCCGAGTCGCCGCCCCCGAATCGGCTGCCGGCTTAGAACGCCGATTCCGGTTGCGGCGCCTCCAGGCGGCCTCCGGTCGAGAGGGGGCGCTCTAGCTCGCGTGGCCAGAGGTCCTGCCCGGAAGGGGCCGGCGGCGAGGCGGAAGCAGCGGAGGGGGGAGAGAGGCAGAGGGCCTGGCTCGCCGCGACGCTCCTCGACAGCCGCCGCCGACTCCGCGACACGGCCCCGGCCTGAGGGAGCCGGAGAGGCCGCAGGCAGAGCAGGCGCGAGAACGGAGGTGAGGCCGCGCGGGGCCGCCCAGCTTCTCCCGCGGCGGGCGAGGACCCCACGCTCCCCCGGAGGGGAACGGCCGCTTCCCCCGCGCCCACCCGGGAAGCAAAGCCGCGCGGCCGAGAGCCGGCGGGCCGAGGGGGGGGGGGAGCGACCCCGGCCGGGAGGCGGCGGGCTTCTCCTGTCCGACGGCGCCTCTGCCCCTCCTGCCGGGCCGCGGGGCCCTTCCCTGCCCGAGGCCGGCGCCCGGGAGGCCTTTCCGGCCGAGGGGAGGGAGCGTCCGGCCGCCGCGCGGACTGTTGCCGTGGAGGGCCGCCCGGGGCCGCTCTGCCCCCCGGCCGAAGCCTCGGCCTGCCCGCCATCCCAGCCCGGCGTCCCGGCACTCGCGCTCCTTGTGACCTGGGAGAGATTCCCACGTCCAATTTTATAGAGGCCGAGTTTTATTCCTCCTCCTGCCTTGGTCGTCTGCATGTTTGAACGGGGAGCGTTTCCCGCGAATGGGCTGGAAGGGAAAAACGGGCCCCTGTTCTGCTCCCAGCTGCTCCTCGGGGCTGCTCCCCAGGAAAGCGGCTCCTAAATGGGATAAAATCAGGGCATTTGCGGACTACCCAGGCTGTCTGAGACCAGGTGAAGGAGATTTGGGGTGATTCGGTCTTCCCATTAGGATCCCCCCCACCCCATCCCCATCTTGCCTTTCAGAGGTTTGGGTCATTCTTTGTCAAAGAATGACCCAAAGATCTGTCAAAGAATGAGACAGAGAGGTCGGTAGGAAGAGGCGGATGCGGGTAATTCTCGATTTATGACCACAATTGAGCCCAAAATTTCTGTTGCTAAGGGAGACACGTGTTAAAATGAATTCTGCCCTGTTTTGTGACCTTTCTTGACACATTTGTTAAGTGAATTGCTGCAGTTAACACGGTTGCTTCACATGAATTTGGCTTCCCCATTGATTTTGCTTATCAGAAGGTCGCAACAGGGGATCACATGACCCCAGAACTCTGCAACAGTCATAAATGTGAGTCAGTTGACAAACTCTGAATTTTGATCAGGGAGATGCTGCAACAGTCATAAGTGTGAGAAAGTCATGCCACTTTTTTCAGTGTGTTGTAACTTCGAACAGTCACTAAATGAACTGTTATAAGTCAAGGAATTCCTGTAGCCTTGTTCTTTGGTTTGGTTTTCCTTTCTGTTTTTGGTGTTGCTGTTCTCTGTTAAAATGGATTATATGTTGAAGGGGACTCATGATTAATGGTGTCTAGAATAGATTTTCTTAAAATATGTTGAGGTAGACCAGTTGTCTGGAATGTTTCAGAAATATTTGAAATTGTTAGCTTCAGTAAACTCAAATAAAAAGTCTTGCATTATTTGAAGTAGTTTGTTTTGCTCCCCTAGATGGTGGGACTTATCTTGAGAAATTTCTTTAAAATATGGCTGTATTTATTTGCATTTACTTTTTCTGTAATAGTTTAGGTTTATGTTGCAATAGTTAGAATGATTGGTTTCCGGCTAAAACAGTGAAAAACGTTATAACATCTTAATGTGCACCATATTTTTGTGAACTAGATTCAATTTTCGCAGATAAATGAAAGGGTTTATTGATGTCCACTGGATTGGTTTAAATATATTGCAACAACCTTGCTGGGTGGATATCTTGGAAAATTGTTGTCCCAAGTATTGGGAAGAAAACTGCTAGCAAAGGTGCATTGTAGCTTCCCTTACCACCACTTGGAATTAGATATATGTTGGGGTTTGTTTGTTTTTTTGAAAAATGAGATTTTGAAAGCTATATACCGTAGATCCCAGTTTTAGAGGGATATGATAGAACAGAGGCAGTATTTATTGCCTAATTTATTTTCTTGCCTAATTAACAAAGCTAATTAATGTATGAATCACTTCAGGTGAAAACAACTATAAGCATCAATATAATTAATATAAAAAAACAAACTTACTGTATAAACATAGATTTATTTTATAAGAGTTGATGTTGAATAATTGTTTTGCAAGCCAGCGATGAGCTGTTACTTTTGTTTCAGAAGCTGCGTACGGAAGACGAGGGTGCTCATGATAACATGTCCAGTGTTTCAGTGGACAGGAGCATCAGGCTACAGGACATTAAGAAAGGGCTGCAGTTTATACAGTAAGAGCTTTGAGTAACTAGACTTCTCTGTCAGAACTCTTGAGTCTCTGCTTAAAACATGATATATTTTCTTATTACATATCTTGTGCTAAGTTTATATTAAAGATCAGCTAGCTTTGCTGTTATAAAATAAAACACGGGCAAACAAATTCTCTTGGTGTACTGTCTCTCCTATCTTGTGTTGCGTAGAACTCTTTAATCTGCATTTGATTGCATCTTTATTTTGGAATATGTGCTATACATGGAACTGCAAATTCTGCCCTGTTAGCAATATTATGTTCCAATCATATTTTCTCACTGGTGTTTTTGGAGATAATCTGGATTGCAGAGTTCATTCCTGTGACAAGTGTGTAGCACGGATACAAGCCAAGATCAAGAATTTCAATGGCAAGTGCCTTGGGTGTGCGAGATGCTTGAATGTGATCTGATATTTATCTTTGTGATTTCTAGGTCTACTCTACCATACCCTGGGTCTCAAGAACAATATGAGGTAACTGATATTCCTTTCTGAACTTCTCTACCTGAGGCATTGTGGTCTCAGCAGTGGGTAGAAACTTCTAGAATCTTGGCTGTTGTAGGATGCGATGATTTCTCTTGACTTATTGACCACGTCAGCCTTGTCTAATTAGGGCTTGGTTGTTAGTAGTGGTTGTGGGGAGGTAGCGGAAGGACAATAGATTTCAGGATTTTCTTACCGCATTTTGTTAGATGGAACCTTACTCCGAAATGATCTAAAGCTTTGCTCTGAGATGCGCTACTTTGCGCCTCTGCCTGGAGCCCCTCCAGAACAAGTTGTTGACGATAGCAAAGTGCCCCTTGTTGAGCTGCAGAACTGCCTGTGTGACTTAACTGAGGATTTATGTTTCAGATCTTCATACGAGAACTTGTTAAAAACTTGTTTAATGAAGGAAACGACGCATACCGAGAAGGTGATTGGGAAGGGTCATTGAACCATTATTCTGAGGCTTTGAACATAGCCGATTATGCCAATTCTGAAGGAATCCACATTTCTGATGAAATATTAGAGAAACTGCATGTTAATCATATAGCCTGTTACTCCAAGAAGGTAAGTGCTTCCTAAAAAAGCTCATGGCTTATCAAGAACTGTTTCTATTCTGTAACCCTGGTGGGTGTGATGGAATCAGCATTTTATCAGCCCGGGCAGTTAACAGTATAGTAGTAAAAACAAACACTGAATGATTCTTAACACAAACATAGCAAAATACAACCGTTTCATCACCTTAAAATGGCAGTAATAATAGTCTTGGCAATGAGCATTCTGAGCTCCCAAGAACTTAAAAAGACCTGGCCTGATCTCCCTGATGTACATTTTGTGTTTGCGTGTGCGGCATGCGTTGTCTTGGAATATGCTTGCAGCCTGAGATTCGAATCACAAAATGCTTGACACTGTTCTGTCCTTCATTCTTACAGGGGTCGCATGATAGAGTTCTAGAAGAATGTGGGATAGTTTTAAAGTTGAATGAAAATAATTTCAGAGCCCTTTACCGGAAATCCAAAGCTTTAAAAGAACTGGGAAGATATAAAGAGGCTTATGATGCTGTAGCAAAATGCTCTCTCGCAGTGCCCCAGGTGCGCATGTCACATCAGCTAGTGTGTGTGTGTGTGGGGGGGCATTAATAGGGTTTACCTGCATGTGGTTTCAGAACAACAGAGAGTAGAAAATTCCTCTAAAATAAAAAGCTGCTGACAATCCCATGGCCAGGGAGGAAGTGAATACATGTGCAATTACTATACGTTGTTGTATTATTTTATTGGAATGTTGCACGTGGCCTAGAATCATAGCTGACTGAGGTGATAAATGAACCTCATGGATGCATAAATGTACATCATTCCCTTGCCTGGACTCACTGCAAGAATTATTAATTTAGATATACTGGCACCCCACTCCAGAGGCCTCCAGAAGCCTCTTGGTACACAGTCCCAACTCAGAGTTGCTCCCTACAGAACCCAGATCAGATGCAGGTGGCATTGATGTGACAATACAGAACCCAGACCTGATGCAGTTGTGTGACATTTCTGAAAAAAGGTTTGTTGCTAATTTGCATTGGATTCTGTTTTTATTTTAATTTCTAGGATGAAAGTGTGATAAAATTAACTCAAGAACTTGCTCAGAAGCTTGGATTGAAAATAAGGA